CCAGTCTACAAAAAAGGAAGAGCTAATGGTCTCTGCCCACTGGAGTTGTTGTAAGGGGGAAAGAGCCACAGTACAAATTTGGCCTAGAGGCATTCAGTGAATGGAGTTTCCTTCTGTCCTTTCTTACCCAAATCACCCAGCTAAGAAGTGGCTGAATCAGCTAGGACCTCTGACTTTTTGGTGGAGTTGGGGAGAGCAGGACCTAGGAAGTAGGCACTGAGCTTGGGCGTCGGCCCCTCTGCCTTATGCCTTTCCCTCTCTGCCAGGTCCTGGGGAGTCTGAGAAGGTGCAGCAGCTGGAGCAGCAGGTGCAGAGCCTGACCAAGGAGCTGCAGGGCCTTCGGGGCGTCCTGCAGGGACTGAGTGGGCGCCTGGCGGAAGATGTCCAGAGGGCTGTGGAGACGGCCTTCAACGGCAGGCAGCAGCCAGCAGATGCAGCTGCCCGCCCTGGTGTGCACGAAACCCTCAACGAGATCCAGCAGCAGCTGCAGCTCCTGGACAACCGCGTCTCCACCCACGACCAGGAGCTGGGCCATCTCAACAACCATCACAGTGGTGGTGGTGGCCGTGGGGCCCTGGACTCAGCCCCAGCCCCTCCCGGCCACGGTGAGGAGCCGCTGCGGGAGCTGGAGCGGAGGCTGCAGGAGTCCTGCTCTGTGTGCCTGGCTGGGCTGGATGGCTTCCGCCGGCAGCAGCAGGAGGACAGGGAGCGGCTGCGAGCCCTGGAGAAGCTACTGGCCTCCGTGGAGGAGCGGCAGCGGCAGCTCCCAGGGCAGGCCCTGGGCCGCAGGCCCCCTCAGGAATGCTGCCCTCCAGAGCTGGGCCGGCGACTAGCAGACCTGGAGCGGAGGCTGGATGTAGTGGCCAGCTCAGTGACAGTGCTGAGTGGGCGGCGAGGCACCGAGCTGGGAGGAGCAGCTGGGCAGGGGGGTCACCCCCCAGGCTACACCCATTTAGCATCCCGCCTCTCTCGCCTAGAGGACCGATTCAACTCCACTCTGGGTCCTTCAGAGGAGCAAGAGGAGGGCTGGGCTGGGCGTCCTGGGGGGCTGGGCCACTGGCTGCCTGCTGCCCAGGGCCGACTAGAGAAGCTGGAGGGGCTGCTGAGCAATGTGAGTGGAGAGCTGGGTGGGCGGCTGGATCTGCTGGAAGAGCAGGTGGCAGGGGCTGTGCAGGCATGTGGGCAGCTCTGCTCTGGGGTCCCGGGGGAGCAGGACTCCCACGTCAGCGAGATCCTCAGTGCCTTGGAGCGCAGGGTGCTGGACAGTGAGGGGCAGCTGCGGCTGGTGGGCTCAGGCCTGCACAAGGTGGGAGCAGCTGGGGATGCCCGGCAGGCCGTGCTGGAGAGACTGCAAGGGGTCGTGGGCCAGCTCCAGGGTCGAGTCGATGCACAGGACGAGACAGCTGCAGAGTTCACACTGCAGCTGAATCTCACAGCCGCACGAGTGGGCCAGCTGGAGGGTCTGCTGCAGGCCCGTGGGGATGAGGGCTGTGGGGCCTGCGGTGGTGTCCAGGAGGAACTGGGCCGCCTTCGGGATGGTGTGGAACGCTGCTCCTGCCCCCTGTTACCTCCTCGGGGCCCTGGGGCTGGCCCGGGTGTTGGAGGACCAAGCCGTGGGCCTCTGGACGGCTTCAGTGTATTCGGGGGCAGCTCAGGCTCAGCCCTGCAGGCCCTGCAAGGAGAGCTCTCCGAGGTTATTCTCACCTTCAGCTCCCTCAATGACTCACTGCATGAGCTCCAGACCACTGTGGAGGGCCAGGGCTCTGATCTGGCTGACCTGGGAGCCACCAAGGACCGCATCATCTCTGAGATTAACAGGCTGCAGCAGGAGGCCACAGAGCATGCTACAGAGAGTGAGGAGCGCTTCCGAGGCCTGGAAGAGGGACAGGCACAGGCCGGCCAGTGTCCCAGCCTAGAGGGGCGATTGGGCCGCCTCGAGGGAGTCTGTGAACGATTGGACACGGTGGCCGGGGGACTGCAGGGCCTGCGTGAGGGCCTTTCCAGACACGTGGCTGGGCTCTGGGCCGGGCTGCGGGAAACCAACAGCACCAGCCAGACACAGGCAGCCCTGCTGGAGAAGCTGCTGGGGGGGCAGGCAGGCCTGGGCAGGCGGCTTGGTGCCCTTAACAGCTCCCTGCTGCTCCTGGAGGACCGGCTTCACCAGCTCAGCCTGAAGGACCTCACTGGTGAGGGGGCAAGAGGAGGCATGGGATGGGGGGGACCCCTTTCAAGTCCTTTCTCCTTCTCCCACCCCACAGCAACCCAGCCTTAACCTCATCTACTTTCTCCTTGCTCTGCCCAGCATGAATGGCAGACCCACCACTGTCCCAGGGGTCAGTGTGTCCAGAAGAGATGATCCAAGGTCCCAGCTCCCCCCCCTCCCCTGGCAGCTCAGACAGGGCTGTGGGTGGAGGTGGGGGCTGCTCTGCCAGCCAGTATGCAGCACGGGCAGCAAGGGGCCCCATCGACCTGTTCATGGAGCAACCACCTTTCTGTCCTTTGGAAACTCCTTACGTGACTCTCCTTCAACTTAGTTTTGTCCCTGTAGGGCCTGCAGGTGAGGCTGGGCCCCCAGGGCCTCCTGGGGTGCAGGGACCCCCAGGCCCTGCTGGGCCTCCAGGACCTCCAGGCAAGGATGGACAAAAGGGGCCTATCGGGCCACCAGGTATGTGGGCTGAGATCCTTGCTGTATTACCACCCTCAGGGTTACCACCCCCCTGGGCAGCACCAGGCTTGACATTCCACTCTGAACTTGACAGAGAAGGGGGGAAAGGCAAGGAACTGGGGGTCCTACATGGCTGATAGTGACAAGGAAAGTGACTAGGAACTGGGACAGTCACTGATTGGCTAATTGGATATGGTGGCCTCACTGCTGTTTGGAAGACTACGGCTGAGCCTACAAGCGCTCTGTAGGGTGTGAGAGGCTGGGGGCTAGGGCTTACGGCCCAGCAGTTGAACAGAACAGACCCTATCTATTCCTCCTTTTCTTGATACCCCCATTCCTGCTTTGGAGTCTGCATAGCACCTAGCACAGCGGGACAGACTGAGCAGATGTTTGCTGAGTGACTTAATGAGAGCTGCCCTATTTCTCACTGCTCTGTTTCCTCTTCCCACAGGTCCCCAAGGTGAACAGGGTAAGTGCCTCTCATTAGATGCTGGAAGGAGGGGAACTGAACTAGGGGTTGGAGGATGGAAAGCCTCAGGCAGCCCTGGGGGTAGAGACCGTGGGGGGAAGAAGTGGGGCGAGCAGCTCTGCACTGAGCATCCACTCTGACACCCACCCTACCCCCACCCAGGAGTAGAGGGGGCACCAGCAGCCTCTGTGCCCCGGGTGGCCTTTTCAGCTGCCCTGAGTTTGCCCCGGTCTGAACCAGGCACAGTGCCCTTCGACAGAGTCCTGCTCAACGACGGGGGCTATTATGATCCAGAGACAGGTAAGCCTAGGAGCGGGCAGGCAGGGCAGTGGGGGAAACCAGCGTGACTGTTCTCTTCCTTGCCCCTTCCAACAAGGTGACTCTTTTCATGGTCTGGTTTGGCGAGACCCCTGTTCTTTCCTTCACTTATTCATTCTCACTATAGCTTGGGCTGAGGAGTGGGGTGGGGAGGGGAGGAGCCATAAGTTCAACAGCTCTTTATTGGGGGCCTGCTCTTGCCCAAGCACTGTTTCAAGTGCTGGGGATGGGTAATGAACAAAACCCCAAATTCCCTGCCCTCCTGCAGCTGACATTCTAGTGGAAGAGAGGAAAAGACCTAGCGGGTCCCTCCCTAGTCCAGGATTTCTGGGTGGGCTCCCCGATGCCTTCCTGGTCCCTGCCACCTGTTCCGCCTCCTGACTGCCATCCTTGTCCCCAGGTGTATTCACGGCGCCACTGGCTGGCCGCTACTTGCTGAGCGCGGTGCTGACTGGGCACCGGCACGAGAAGGTCGAGGCTGTGCTGTCCCGCTCCAACTTGGGCGTGGCCCGCATCGACTCCGGTGGCTACGAGCCCGAGGGCCTGGAAAATAAGCCTGTGGCCGAGAGCCAGCCCAGCCCGGGCGCCCTGGGCGTCTTCAGCCTCATCCTGCCCCTGCAGGCCGGGGACACAGTCTGCATCGACCTGGTCATGGGGCAGCTGGCGCACTCGGAGGAGCCGCTCACCATCTTCAGCGGAGCCCTGCTCTACGGGGACCTGGAGCTTGAACAGGTGTAGACAGGGGGCCGGGCCAGACGGGCCCGAAGTGTCTATGCCGGCCAAAGAGCCAGCAGGGGCGGTGGGCTCTCCCGGGTCCCCGCCTGGGACCGGGCGCCGTCCTGGCACCCCAGCCCCGGGCGAGCCGCCGTCTCCGGACCCGCAGCGGCACAGGCGACCAGAACAATCTCTCCGCGGCTGGAGCGCGCCGGGTCGGAGACTCCGGGGTCCCCTCGTCCAGACTTTTGGCCTGATCGCGGTCCCCTGCAAGACCCGGACTGCAGAGGAGCCGATCCTCACGCTCTTTGCTCCCCCAACTGGCCCTCTAGGCCGATTCCCTGGGCTCCAAGGCTCTCCCGGATAGGCTCCGGCCACCACCGCCATACTAAACTATTCAGGAATAAAGACACTTGGTTTTTTCTAAAAAAAACAAAACAAAACAAAACAAACCGTCTGCTCCAGTATGTGTTCAGGGGTGGTTCAGGAGTGCACAGCGGACGGGGAGGGAGGAGCCCCGGGTTCCGGACCCCGCTCGCGCCCACCGCTCTGCTGGGGGTGGCTCTGCCCACGCTTGCTCTGGACGCGCGGGCCGCGAGGTGCGCCGGCTGCTGAGAGCCCCAGCCGGGCCCCGCTCCCCGTCACGCCCGTTCCTCCCGCGTCCGCCAGGGGGCGTCGGGAGCCGAGAACTCCGCGCCGCGGGGCGTCGTCTCCCGTCACGTGACTGCCGCCGCTCACCTTGCGGGCCCCGGCTGCTCCGCGGCGGGGGCGGGGCCTCGGGCTGGGATTGGCCGGGCCTCGGGGGCGGGCGGAGCTGCCGCGACCGCGCGAGCCGAGGCATCGGCTGCGGGGTCCCGGCTGCAGCTGCGAGGCCCAGCTCAACCCCGCCGGTCTAGGGTCTGGGTTGGGAGCTGCCAGTGCAGGAGAGGGCGGGGCAAGGGGCGTCTTTCTATTGCACTTTCTCTTTGCGTTCATGAGGTTGCCTGGCCGCGCTTTAGAGAGGTTTGCATTAGCTCCGAGTCCGTCTGACAAGTGAGGAAACTGAGGCCGAGAAGTGGGAGGCGTTGTCATCTGCTGGGTCACGCAACCTGCTAAGGGGAGGCCGGGGACCAAGACCTCGGGGTCTGCGCTCCCAGGCCCGCTTGGGTCGGTGGGCGTGGGGAGCAAGGGCCTTGCGTCGTTCCCTCCACCCAGCTGCACCCCTCGCCGCTGCAGGAGGCTCCCTGGAGGAGGAGCTCCGGACGCGGAGGAGGAGCCAGGGCAGCCCCGGGAGCGGGGACACAATCCTCCTTGATAAGAGGCAGAGCCCGAGAGGAACCCCGTCAGCCAGTTGGGCAGAAAGCTCCAGGAGCAGCCTCATGGAAGAGAAGCAGATCCTGTGCGTGGGGCTGGTGGTGCTGGACATCATCAATGTGGTGGACAAGTACCCGGAGGAGGACACGGATAGCAGGTAGGGGCGCCCGGGCCCCTCGGAGACCCCAGGGGCTTCTGCAGCCCCGTGTTTGTACCCGGCAGCCAAGACTACAGGGCCGCGGATCCGGGAGCCCCGCAGTGAGGCCGTGCGAGTTCAGCCTCCTCGGGAGCCGTGCACGGTGCCCGGTGCCCTCTGCCCAGGATCTGGGGAAAGAATTGGGGCCTTTAGTAATAAGACCCAGGCTTTGGATAGCATTGTGTTCACCAGTTCCCCTTTCAACCCTGGGACTGTGTCAGGCATTTTTATCCCCATTTTACCCACAAGCAAGTAGAGACTGAGAGATGAAGTGATTTCCCCAAGGGCGCGCAGCTAGTACGGTGCTTGTTAACAAGACCTGTGCACTTGCCTCTCACTAGCGTTTACTTCTAATTTATTTACCATATATATAACTCATCTGTTTCTAAAAAAAAAAAAAAAAAAAAATTGAGGTAGCTTACAATGAGAAGTATGTGCAGTTAGACTGTTGAAGAACATTTAAAACCAGGGTATTTGAGCTTCACTATAGCTCGGAGCTTGCTGGCACTGCAGGCAAATTTGGAGATACTATGTGTTATGGATAGAGGTGGTTCATGAGCCACGACAGGCTTTTCCCTGGTGCTAAATTCCAAAAGGAGTTTATCAGAAGTCCTTTTTACAAAAGTCAGTGGACAACATAGCAGACATCCTTCTCAGTTGTGAAACTGAAGAGTCATTTGTTGGTTCTTATATTCACTCTTGATGAGAATCACACCATTACACTGTAATTCCAAGAAGGCATTTCTCTGGTGTAGAATACGAGGCTTTCTCTTGGTGCAGTCTAGTGCTTAGACTACTGAGAAGGATTGCTCCTTGGCTCTCAGTTGTCTCAGCCAAGAACTGGATAAAAGGCTAGTTTAAGATTGATTCGGGGAAGACACTGCAGCGCCAATAACCATGAGGCTAATTGAGGGGAGAGACCAGGGCATTCTTCAGGCTTTGGGTCCACCCTGCATGGTCACATGAATCGTCACATACTTTTCCCAAGGCTGAAGGGAACTTCAGCGTTAAGTTTTGTGTACAAATATACCTTAGCTTAAAAATTCCGCTTCATTTATTTCTCTTAATTAGTGGTTCTTTGGTACTTGCTCCTCTTATTGTAAGCTGCCACAGTTGTTATTATTATTCTTTTTGCAGCTGGAAGAATAGAAGTAACAGCCTGCACTGTTTACCTCTCAGTATTATTGGAGCACAAATGAGAAATCATTAAAGTGCTTTGACTATGTATGCATAAGTTATCATTTTCGTTGTTGATGATGACAATGAAGCCCTTCAGGTGTATCTTGAGTTAGTCTCCTTTTATTAGATTTTCAGTAAAGATGGAGAAAAACTAAAGAAAAAAAGGTAACTATGTGAGGTGATGGATGTGTAACTAACCTTAATGTAACCATTTCGCAATATGTACGTATACCAAATCATCACTCTGTGCACCTTAAACTAGAATGTTATATGGCAATTATATTTCAATAAAGCTGGAAAAGAAAAAGGAAACAAACAAAAAGATGGAGAAAAACTGGTCTCCACCCAATAATCGTTTTAACTTTTGGCATTGAATAAGTTAGCTTTCCTCCACTTCTTAAATGATCACAGTGTCCATGTTTGCTTCCTGTCTTGCTCGTTGTAACTGGCAGTTGTTATTGAAGTGGGCTCTCCTAAGACAGGAGCAGGTAGCAGAGTTGACACCTTTGGGAAGAGGCACTTGGAGTTATCCAGCTCTCAAGGAGGAGGCTGAAGGTACAGCAGCCCTGCCTGGGGAGAAGTGGGTCATGGTACCTGAGGAGGAGCTAACCCAGAGTGAGGGGAGCCCTCAAATTCTGATGGACCCGAGTGAGTGCTTTCCTGATGTTGTAAGAATAGGTAGAAGATAGAAATGATTGCTGTGAACCTGAATTTAGCCTGGGCTGGGGAGACAAACCTGGTCCTCAGCCAGGCCTCTTCCCTTCACTGAGCCTTATCTGCCCATCTAGAAAATGAGAAGCCTGGCCTGGATGCTTTCCAAGGGGGACCTCCTGGCTTTTACATTCTGTGGGCTCTACTCCAGGCACTGTGTTTGGCCCTGCTTATCCAGGGACCAGCTTGCAGGGACCCTCTTTGTGTTTTGCAGGTGCTTGTCCCAGCGATGGCAGCGTGGAGGCAACGCATCCAACTCCTGCACTGTTCTCTCCCTGCTTGGAGCCCCCTGCGCCTTCATGGGCTCACTGGCCCCAGGCCATGTTGCCGAGTGAGTGGAGGAGGGAGCAGGGGAGGCCTGGCCACACCTTGGGGGGAGAAGAAGGAAGTCTTAACCCTGGGTGGGTGGGCTATAAGAAATTATTTGTGGCCACTAGAAATGGGTGGGAGGAATGGAGTACCAGCATCCCAGACCCTCCGTGGTGTGGCTTATCTGCTGCTCAGATGTTAACACTGTTCCTGCTGAAGGTTTCATTTCCACAGCCTGTTTCCTTGGCCGCTCCTTGGAGCCTGCTTCCACTTCCCCACCTTCTCCTTCCTTGCTTCCAACAGACTCCATGGTAGATGTGACTTTGCCCTTCTCATTGTCCCTTATCCTGGCTGTTCTTGCGGCAGAAGGCGGTTAGGGACATGTTGTACCCACCCTCCCTCAGGGATGTCCAGGATCCGTGGTCCCAGGGTCCAGGCCCACAGTTTCTTCCTGGTTGAGAGGGTAGGGCCAGGTTCATGTCCTCATTGTTCACTGAAGCAGTGAAAGCACCCTGCCCAAGGACATCCCAAAGCCACGTGCCAAAGCTGGGCCAAGACCCATGCCTCCAGCTCATCGCTGTCAAGGCTACAGCCTGTAAGTGGCCCATGCGCTTTCTCCATGTTGGCTGCTGCAGGGACCCAAGAGCCCTTTGACCCCTGGCATAGCCGATTCAGCAAGCGCTTATCAAGAGGTGAGGCCCACACTTTGCCCACTGTGGGCACTGGGGCAGGATGCCAGGTTGTTGGCCTATGAAGCACAGCCCTTTGAACCCTAGTTTGAGGGGAGCTGCTGCCAGATTTCCTTCCTTGATGAACTGGCATGAAGCAAATAAGGGGGCAAGAGCTGCCCTGTGAGATGGGACAGAGTGATCAGGAGCTAACAGCCAGTCACTTGTTAATCCTCTTCAGCAGCTGCCTTTCCTCCCAGCTAGAGGCAAGACTGGCTCTTGCTTAGAGCAGTGGACCCACCATCCAAATTCTTTCCTTGGTTCAACAAACATTTAATGAGCATCTACCATGTGCCAGGCGCTGTGGGTGCCAAAGTGATTTGGCAAACCAAACTGTATTTTCCACGCTGTGGGAAAGCTACTCAAGTATCCTGGAGATGTAAGACAAGGAAGGATGCCCCAACTTGGTACTTCTTGCATATCTGTATTGTCCAAATTTGGTCTTTCTAAAAGTGGGGTCCAGCAATAGTGAGAAAAGCCACGATGGTTGCTGGGCTGCTGGGCATAAATGCCAGCTCTTGGGCACAGGACATGGCATTTCCAGAGAGGGCCAGGAGGCTGGGGCTGACCTTGTCCTGCTGGTGCAGTCTTCCTGAGGGGCTGCCCCCGGCTCACTCTGATTGGAGGGGATTCTGGGTGAGAGTCTAGACCAGGCCCACGCTGAGGGGAATCAGACACTGGGAGCCAGCTCACTGCCCGGGAGGGTTTGCCTCACTGCGAGAGGAGAGGGCAGTGAGCAGGCCCACCGAGGCAGCCCCACTTCCTGGCTGGGCATCATGGAAGCAGGTGTAGAATGAGAGGAATCAGAGAAGGACCAAAAGGGACTTCAGAGAGAAGAGTACCATGGGGATGAGCGGGCAGAGGTGGGGGGGCAAAGTATCACCTTGGTAATGATTAATTCTGCCTGGGCCTTGCATGAAACAGGCCACAGTGCCCTCACCTGCTTGGCTTAAACAGGGTACATGTTGTAGGCCTCAAATCTACCCCCTCTAGCTTTATGAATGCGAGCAGATCCTTTTCAGTTTGAGCAGGCTGAAGGGCAAGGTCAGGGCTGGTGTTCACTTCAGTCAGGACCTACAATATACCTTAGGGTTTTTCTCACTGAGTTCCAGGCTATGCACCCCTGCCTGTTCTGCCCCCTTGCACAGCCTGTGACAGCACGGTGATTTCCAGTCCCCTCCTAGTCCCCTCTGCTTGCACCCCGGGGCCCTTGTGGCTCTGCCAGCTACCCTCCAGTCTTCAAACCCTGGTCGAACTGCGCCTCCCCCGGGTTACTCCGCCCTGGCAGTTTTGTCCTGGATGACCTCCGCCGCTATTCCGTGGACCTACGCTACACGGTCTTTCAGACCACGGGCTCCGTGCCCATCTCCACAGTCATCATCAACGAGGCCAGTGGTAGCCGCACCATCCTACATGCCTACAGGTTTGTACACCTGTCTGCGCCTTGCCAGCTGCCACCACCATCACTGATCTCCTAGAACAGCACCCTTCTTCTCTCAGAGGCCTACGTGCTCCAGCACTCCTCCCCACCCCTGCGCGAGGTCCAGGCTACTTGTAGGCTCTAATCTGTGTCTCCTTGCCCTTCCCTTGGCTCGGGCTCCACTCCAAGCTTCCTGGTGGCTGACTTCAGGCAGCGGGGTGTGGACGTGTCTCAGGTGGCCTGGCAAAGCAGGGGGGAGACCCCATGCTCTTGCTGCATCGTCAACAACTCCAGTGGCTCCCGTACCATAGTGCTCTATGACACGTAAGGCCCCCTGGCCTCGCCCTGCCACAACCCACCAATCAGCTCCCCTCTCTCGCCACCATGGGCATCCCAATTGCCCGCCCTCTGCGGCCTCTCTCTTTGTACCAGAAATTGTCCCTGTGCCAAATTGTTCAGTGATTTCTGAATTGTTTTCAATTAGGGGAGAAGTGAAGTGGGAAGGGATGGGCTTTGCTTTGCCTAGTGACTTAGCCTTGGTCAACACCAAGGGTGGGCAGGCAGTCCTGTGCAAAATGTAATTTATGATGTGATTCCTCCGTAATTAGCTAATCAGCAGCCTGGGTGTGAATGTGGGGAAATTGTTCTGAGGACAGAGGGATGGGAGATGTAATTCAAACCATCTTAAGCCCTTAAGGGGGCCCACTGGGATTTCCAGGGTCAGCCCCAGAGTTGCCAGCCTGCAGCATGGCACCAAGGAGCTGGGGTTTGGGTGTTCAAAAAAAATGACACCCCCCGCACCCCAAAGTCCCCAGCATAATGAAGCCAGACCAAACACCACACACTATTCACAGCCATTGCTAAAGGAGAGGAAAGGGGAGTATTGGGTCAGCACATCAGGGCCATATGATGTGGTGCTAACCTGGGGAGCGAGGGAACCCTTTAGGGTTGCAAGCTACTAGAGAGAGGCCCTGTGGGCCCAGATCCTTCTCATCTCTCCCAGATTCCCTCCTGAAGAATCTTAGAGGTTTAGTTTACTGAGAACCTAGTGTGTACCAGGTAATATGTTAGGGCTCAGATGGCCCAAGCCCAGCTGCCCTGGGGTTCAGGCTATTTCTACTGCCCAGCACAATCACTGGACCTGGGGAGAGGGGCAATCATCCTGGGACAAGCTTGATGACCACTGGTCCCTGGGCTCCGTGTGTCCCAGTGAATGAGCGGTTAGGCATGTGTGCTAGAGGTGACCTTCACACTGGGCAATCTTAGTCATCTGCTCATTAAGCAACAATCTGAAGCAACTTTGATCAAGGATACGACATGGGTATTCACAGGAAGGGAGGGAAAGGATCTCCGTGGAGAAAGTTTATCGCCCACTGGCCTCAGTCCAGGCATATCCACACACGTTACCTCCAACCGTTACCAGCAGGCCTGTGAGGCTGGGGGTTTCAGCCTCATTTACCAATGCGGAAGCAGCCTCAGAAAGGCCCAGGTCACACAGCTAGTCAAGTGCATGAAGGATTCAGCTACAGAACATGGAGGGGAGGACATCGGCTGTGTGTAGGTCTCTGGCCAAGGAGGGTCAAGGCAAACGCTTCCCAGATCTCCACACCTAAGTCAGCCAAACATAAACTCATCCTCAAGCACCAACCTTGACTTCAGGATTGTCACACGGAGCTGCCAAACTCAGGATAGTGGTGCTGTCACCGCTGGGGTGCCAGCAGTGAGTAGGACCAGACCCAAGCTCCGGGCAGAACGGCCATGGCATTTGTAGTTTCCTGGAACACTGCATGCTGGGAGCTGGGTCTGCTTGCAAGGGGGATTCTGGGAATCGTAGTCCCTGGAGCTCTTAGAGCATTCTGGGAGATGGGGTGTCCAAGGCACACAGAACTGTCCCCTTGACGCATGCTGCAGTTGAGTTTGCCATTAGATATATATCACAGCCTCAAACACAGGAAGGGGCATCCTAGCAAACTGCCTCCAGTCGCCTGTCTAGAAGGAGCTGAGTGGGGCAAGGAGGAGTCAGGAGTTTAGCCTGGGTGGGATCTATCATGGAGCTGAGCCTCAGAGGCCTGTGCTGTAGATACAGCTTCCTGCCATACTGCAGGCTGCACCAGGCATAGGGACCCCAGCATACAGTTAGAGATCCTGGTGCTGACCTCACTATGCTCCTTTGTCCTTTCCATCCTGTGACTTAGAAACCTGCCAGATGTGTCTGCTATGGACTTTGAGAAGGTTGATCTGACCCGGTTCAAGTGGATCCACATTGAGGCAAGCCCTGCTGCACCTGTGTTTCAAGGGGCTCAACCTGCCAGCACCACCACGTGTTCTGCCTCCTTCTTGCTTTATTTGAACCATGAAGTACCTTAGAGATAAATGAATCCAACCCCCCTCACCCCCTCTCCATCCTTCTCTATGTTTTCTGGTAGGAAACTAGGGCCCAGAAAGACTAGGTGACTAACTCAAGGTCACACAGCAGGATGTAGGCACCAGAAGTATGATGCTGGCTCCAGGCAAAGTCCCATGCTTTCTGTGTTACAGGCTGCCCCACTTCCTCCAGACTCAGCCTCTGGCAAGGGCCTGGCTTTGGGACGCCTGACCCATTACCTCTGGGAAGGGAGGAATGAGAGGGCCTGATCCAGCTCCCAAATAAAGGGAACTAGAATCTTCATTCCAAGCGAAGTTTTGGAGTCTGGGTAGGAGGAAACCCAGAGAAGTCCTGAGTTCTAATCCTAGCCCTGTCATTTAATTTATTGTTAGGTCCTTAGGAAAGTCTCTTTTTTGTTCTTGAGTCTCCTTATCTGTGAAATGCGAGGGCTGGTTGATGAGGTCTCCAAGGTCCATGACAGCTCTAGAATTTTGAGACTTAGGGTGGACCTAAGGATAGACCCAGTCTCCCCTGGCTCCTCTGCCCCCTTCACCCAGAGTTCCAGCAGGGAGGGAAGAGTGGGCCAGATTGGCTGGACAGTGCCCAGCTGGTCCTGAGCTGCCCTGCCCTGCCCTAGGGCCGGAACGCATCCGAGCAGGTGAAGATGCTGCAGCGGATAGAGCAGCACAATGCCAGGCAACCTCTGGAGCAGAAGATCCAGGTGTCCGTGGAGGTGGAGAAGCCCCGAGATGAGCTGTTCCAGCTGTTTGGCTATGGAGACGTGGTGAGCATCCCACACAGCCTCCCCTTGCCACATCCAGCTAATTTGGTTCTTAAAGGGAGCCTGAGCTTTCTCTTGTCCTGCCTACCACACTTGGAATGGCAGTTCGTGGCTTGGTGGTGTTTGCAGGTGGGGGGCAAAGCAAAGAGGCAGACTCCCAGTTTTGGGCTCTGCAGCGGGCCTCAGCAGTGGCCAAGGAGGAGATTTTCTCCACCCCAGTGGGTGCATAGGTATGAGGGTAGCCAGAGGGCTTGGACAGGTCCGAGCCAGCCAGCCAGCCACAGGGCAAGCCTGTGTGGAAGCATCTCCTCCATCAGCCTCCCCTGTCAAATGATGTGATAGAACAGTTCTCCAAGGTGTCCTCCAACTCTGGGGTGGGTCGCAGGTTGTGGGAGCCACTAGGGGGTGAGGGAGGATGGGAAGGGTACTTGCACAAGGTAAATTTGGGCAGGCTGGGTGACAATCCTAGCATCATAGCTGAACCTGGTTGGGCCTCAACCTTGGCTACCCATTAAAAGAGAGGGATGCCTGAGCCCCACCTTCGTTTTTTATTTGATTGGTAGGGGTGGAGCCTGAGCTGACGTATTAAAAAATACAAAACTCTCTCTGGTGACTCTACTGTGTAGCTGGTGTTGATGAAGCTCTAGAACCCCTACTCCTTTGTTTTAAAGATGAAGAAAGAAGATCTAGAGAGCTTAGTTGTATGAAGAAAACAAAAAATCAAAACAAAACCACTCCCCAAATCCCGGGGTTTAACTTGGCAGTGGTAGATTGCACCCCAAGATGGCGCTCAAGGCTTGCTTTGGGTTTTCAATTGCGAGGAAATTCATCAATCTTGGAACAAACAGACCAGGGCTTTTGTGTCACAATTTACATGGCTATCTTCTAGCATATCTTGAGCAAGTGTGAAAACGTGTTCTTGTGAGACAGCGAGATGCTATGTTGGGGATTTAGGCAGCCATTTTGGAGGAGTGGCGTTATAATATGGGGGCATGGCTAGGCTGCTGGTGGTGAGTGACAGCTGAGGCTAGAGTTAAGGTGACTGTCAGCCTCTCTTCCACTGCCCACAGGTGTTTGTCAGCAAAGATGTAGCCAAGCACTTGGGGTTCCGGTCAGCGGTGGAGGCCCTGAGGGGCTTGTACGGTCGTGTGAGGAAAGGGTGAGCTGGGGGAAGCCAGGAAGAGGCCTTAGGTGTGGGGAGCAAGTGAGCCTGGACTCCAGGGCTTGCCCTGGGGAGGGGGAATGAGGCTGGGGGCCAGGGGTGGGCTAACACCCAGCTGAGTGGAGGGTCTTGCAGGGCAATGCTTGTCTGTGCCTGGGCTGAGGAGGGCGCCGATGCCCTGGGCCCTGATGGTCAGCTGTTCCACTCGGATGCTTTCTCACCACCCCGGGTGGTGGATACTCTGGGGGCTGGAGACACCTTCAATGCTTCTGTCATCTTCAGCCTGTCCCAGGGTGAGTACCCCAGCAGGAGGAGGAGGGCTGGGGCCCACCCCTGCCCAGAAGACCAGGCTGATCCAGCTACTTGTCCCTCCCTCCAGGGAAGAGCATGCAGGAGGCGCTGAGGTTTGGCTGCCAGGTGGCTGGCAAGAAGTGCGGCCTGCAGGGCTTTGACGGCATCGTGTGAGTGCCCTGTGGCAGGAGGCACAGCTCACACACTCCCCCCTTGGAGGCTGGCATCACTGGCTGCCATTGCCTCCTCCCCTCCGTCCAGCCTGGCATCTGGGCTGCCCTGCTCCCTGGGCAGATGCAGGCTGTGGGAGGGCTCTGCCTGTGTCCTGGCATCTCACACTGCAGAACCGCAGAGCAAATAAATCTCCTTCCCCAAGCCAGCTTCCTCTGGCAGTCCGTTTGTCCTTGATGTCCCAACTGCTCTGGCTGGGGATTCCTGAGGCTTTGACACAATAGTCCTTCGCCCTCTTTTTCTCCATTCCCCAAATTCACCTTCCCACCCAGGCCCGGAGGAGGGGCTGCCTACACCAGAGCAGCAGGAAGTGCCCCAGGCTTGCCGCCTGCTGTGCCCTGGGAGTGCAGGAGGCGGGAGGCAGGAGGCACAGCCACAGGGATGGGTAGAGACGGAGCCTTCCTGCCTGGGGAGGACACTTAACTCCTTGCACCCCAGGGAACCTTCCAAATAACCATGAGAAAAGCTCCTCTGAGCCCCTGCACTGTCACAAGACTCCAGTCTCATGGCCCCGGGAGTGTCCACATGGCAGAGCCAACCTGACAGGCCAGCTGGCTGGGAGCCTACTGTGTGGTTTGCTGGAGACCTTGCAGTCCAAAAATATCTTCCCAGTGACTGCCCCAGAGGCTGAACGCCCCACCCTTGGAGCCAACTTGTAGTTAAAGTGGTGTCTCAGCCTCAGATGTGACCCAGGATACAGAGCGTTGCTTCCCTGGGGGAGATGAGGTCCGGGGCATTGGAATTGGCCAATTTCCATAAGGGAGTTGGGGCAGGGTGGGTGAGGCCATAAAATGTGAGAAAGTGCATGGGCTTTGGAGTCAGCCAGACCTGAATTCAAATCTGCCAGTTAGTTAGCTGTGTCACCTTGGGTATGTTACTGAACTCAATCTTCCTCAATTTCCTCCTCTGTCAAATGGACCTAATTCTGCCTTGTCATAGAATTATTGTGAGGATAAAATCAGCCAGTATATAAAATGCCCAGCATGATGCCTGGTGTGTGTACTAGGCTCTCAGTAAATGGTAGTTATTGTTACTGTTATGGGGGTGGAGGGAGGCAGATGCAGGGTGATGGGGAAGATCTGCCCTGAGCTGCAGGAAGACACTGAGTGTCTCAACACCAGGTGAGGGGGGAACAGGAGCGTCTGCGCCCCAGGGAGAGGCAGCGCTCTCTCTCTGGGTTGTCTGCAGCTGGCTGTGACCTAGTGTTGTACTCCACTGTGTCTCGGCACCATCTGGGAACACTGGGAAAGCTGACTCCCTGCCCCTCCAAGAGGCCTGTCCAGTCCCCACCCCCTGTGTCCCTGAGGTCTGGGCAGGCTGGACCGGGGGATAGATGGCCCAGGGATGAGTTCATTCAGTTCTTTATTGGTTATCTGGGCCCTAAAGCTGCCCTTCAACTTAGGGTCTCCCTGAACTGCACAGCAAGACCTGCCACCTACAGGGGCCAGGAAGGGACACAGAGAGGTCCTTGTCCCAACATACACACCCGACCTTTCGGGGCTTATTGTTCTGGCACTGAGACTTCTAGGGGTGCAAACCTGTATCCTCAAGATTTATATCTCATCATTCTCCAGTTGAATAGCGTGAACCTCAAACTCACTTGGGGTGTTCTCAGATTCCAGTATTTGCCCTGGAAGCTGTTCTGCTCCCTCTCCAGTGTCCCTGGCCTCTGCCTGTGCCCCAACCTCCCCTCCAGGGCCTGGGGCTTCTCCTTCAGCCTCTGCCTGTCCCCCAGCCTCCTGTAGAGGTTCCAAGGACTCTCTTCTGGCCTCCTCCTGTCCCCCAGCTTCTTCTCTGGGACCCAGGGCTTCCTGTCCTTCTTGTCTCGACAGGCTTTTAGCTAACAGGGACTGCCTCCCAACATCTTGTGGTTCCAGGGGCTCTTTGGGCTCTGCGTGCCTCGGGGCCTCTCCTGGGAAGTTGATGAGCTCTGCCGGGGTCATGAGCCCATCCCCATCCAGGTCCTGGGTCTCGAGTACCTTGTCCACTACCAGGATCACCTGTGGAAGCACACAGTTGCCACGGGGGCTCTGGTGACCAGAGATGTTCCCAGGACCCCTGACCCTCCCAACTGCCCCCCTGCTCCGCCACATCCCTGCCACCCGGCTTTCAGCACCCCTTTTACAGGGGATTCACTAAGAGTCATGATGAAAAAGACCAAAGCCTCAAGGGGCTGGGTCTCCTTCACGAGAGAAGGGGCCCCCCATCCAGTGGGGCTTACTGGGTTGGTGGTGGGAGAGTTAGCAGCTCCAGGGGCCAGAGCTGCTGTCAACATGGACAACAGCTCCAGGCCATCCAGCTGTCCACTCTGGTCATAGTCGTGGAGGGCAAAGAGGTAGAGGAGAACTAAGGAAGAGAAGCTGGATCAGAAGAGGCGTCAGGGGACAGGTGGAGGAGGCAGCAGTCGGGGGACGGCCCGAGGTCAGTCCCAGCTCTGGCTGCCCTGAGCCTCCCTCCCACTGGCCCCATCAGCCCAGCCCCTCACCCTGCTCCCGGCTCATGTGCTCCGGCTCCTCTTCCATCCTCTCTAGTCCCTTTAGGTAGCTCTGCAAAAGTCTGGCAGAAAAGTGGAAAGTCAGCCCACGAGAGGCCAGTCTGCAACCCCAGTCCTGACCCCCCAGGTCCCCAGCCCAGCCTACTCACAGAAGCTGCTCCTGGCCTGGCTGGAAGGGGTTGGACAGAGGCTGATGCTGCGCATCAAGGTCCAGCCTGGAGGAGGAAGGGAAGAACCAGGCTTGCAAAGACCTCCCTGAGGGCCCAGCCTACCAGCCTCCCACTGCCAAGCTCCTGGCAGAGTTCTCTCTGCAGTCCCAAAGGAAGTTGCTCCCCGAGGTTCTCCCCCAAAAACCTTGTAGGGAGAAGGCCCTTTTGGTCTCCTCAGAAGCAGAGCCTTACTCCCTCAGACTCTGCTTTTGCAGATTCCTAACTTAGATATTAAGTGCAAATCCCAATAAAATATCTAGTTAGGTAGAGGCCAGGTGAGGCCACACCTAGTAGACACAAGTTGGAGACCCAAGGAAACAGTGCAGTGGGGGCAGGACAATGTGATCATGGCAACGCTTCTACTTGGCTGCTGGGGGCAGAGGGACAGGTCTCTGGTTGAGCCTGGAGACACTGCCCAGTTTTATACAGACCCGATTTGCTCCATGACACAAAATGGACTCCTTTTTTTTCCCAACCTGAGGACATATATGTTGGTTCTGGAGTTTCAATCTGCTCAAGGTCTCTTTGTCAGTTTTTAAAGCTCAAGATTTGCTCCCAGTTCTGGACAGGGCTACCTGTTTGCCCAAGTCAATCCAGACCTGGGATGCCACAGAGCTAGCAGGAGCTGTTGCAGCAACTTCTGTCACTGTTGCCAGCCCTTGTTGCTGGTCCTGTATCTGTCCCCCCACCCCATGCAGCATACACACTGCATAGTATTAATACATAAAACTTTGAGAAAGCTATTCAACTCAAACAGAAATGACATGCTAATGATCTCTATTTCTTTGGAGTTCCCACTCTAAGGTCTAGATAAGAGGACTGCAGCCCCTTCCCTGGCCCACAGCTTCTTCCCTGTGCTTCACCCCTCATTGGCACTGAGCTCCCGGTTTCCACGAGTCCAGCACACATGTACTGAATGCCCACTTTGGCGCAGGGCACTCTAACAGGCACAAGGCAGAGGTCGTGGTGGGTGCGGAGGGATACAGAAGTCAGGGAGCATACACCCCCGTCTCCTGCCTCCCAGAGGGGCCCACCACAGCCTCGGGTTCTCCAGAGACTCTCCGTGCTCCCGGCCCACAGCCCTGCCCTCTGAATCCCGTTACCTCATGGCTCCATCCTTGGGAGCAGCCTGACCCACAGGCAGCAGCAGCAGCAAGAACATTCTCATTGTCAAAGGTAACATCCTTTCTGTAACTGGAACTAAGAACAGAGAGGGAGTCAGGGGAAAGGGGTGTCTGCCACAGAGTGGAGGATCGGTGTGTTAGACAGGAACGCCTTCTCTCCCTGCCTCCACCTGCAGCCCCAGTGGCAGGACTCGTGCTCAAGAAGGAGACACATGTGGACATCAGTGATCCCCTCTGGAACTTTGTTCAAAATAAATCTTACTCAAGATCCAGTGTGTAAAGTGCAAAAAAGCAGACCTGCTCTGGTGGAAGCAGCGCTGCAGACAGGAGCCCCTCCCTACACCCCATTCCCTTTGCCCTGCAAGCCCTCAAGGTGGTCAGAGAAGTGCAGTTTAAGTATATCTGATCCAATTCAGTTGCTCATTTTACAGGTGGAAACTAGCTCAGAGAGGTTAAGAAAAAGGCCAAATTAGAAATGCAGAGAGTCACAGAAAGACCAAGACTTAAACAGAGAGGCAGATTGTTAGTCTGTATTAATCAAAAGCTCACCGAAGAACAAATCAAAAGAGGCTCAGACTCCTTGAAATAGGTCTAAACTCAGATAGGGATTGAAAACACAACAAATCAGGGTCAAACAAACACTGGCCCCAGGAACCACTGTTTACTAAATGTAGCTAAGAAAACCAGATCCCAATATAAAGGAAAAAACAAAAACGTCCCCTTAGACCTACATTGTGTAGGCCCATTGGCAACACAATCACTTGATTGTATGAAAACAGTCCAATAGAGAGAGGATCGATCAGAAGCACAGAGCCTGAAGCTTTCTGATTAGTCCTAGGTGTGTGTACATATCATGTGAGTTCCTGAGGAAGCAGAAGCCCACCAAAGCTGAGGCCTGAGACCCCTAAGCCCCGCTCTAGGAAGACAAATCATCAGATGCTTAATGGTCTAGGTAGAGAATCAGGAATCCTCTGAAACAGTACCCCATATTTTGGCTGGCATTGAATTTTCCTGGAGAAAGTTTCACAGCTTTCATCAGATTCTCAAAGAGTTCCATGACCCTAACAAGAGTCAGAACCCCTGCAAAGGTGGACATCAGCTTCCTAAGAGATGTGGGGTAGAGCAAGTGAGCGTCTGGCTAATGGGAAAATACACGTGGGAACCTAGCTGTAGCTGTGCAAGCAGAGCTGCCTTGAGGAAGAAGCAGCAAAACATGGAAGTCCACAAGAAGGCGATGCTACCGAGAGTCCTAGAAACTGTCTTCAGTTTTCTGTGCATACGTTGGCCCCAACAGATGTAGTGAATCTACACAGTTTGTTGGTGTCCATAATCCCCAGTGGTCAAATGGATGCTGAAGCCACAGCCGCCGTAAATGTGTTCACGAACATCAGCTGGCAACATAGATCCTTGAGCTTTAGTTGTTGTATCCAGGAGAGAAGACAAGGTCATGGGCCCATCCAAGGGAGGCAGTTGGAACTGAGACCTCCAATCAACTGGTGACCCTCAGGGTTCCCACCACAATGGACACACCTCAGTGAAAGGGTGGCATAGAAAAATATCCAGACCTCCATGTCTGGGAGTACGACAGTAAATGTCCCAATAAAAGTAACTCCAGGGCCGGCCCCGTGGCTTAGCGGTTAAGTGCCCGAGCTCCACTACTGGCGGCCCGGGTTTGGATCCTGGGCACACACCGACACACCGCTTCTCGGGCCATGCTGAGGCCGTGTCCCACATACAGCAACTAGAAAGATGTGCAACTATGACATACAACTATCTGCTGGGGCTTTGGGGCAAAAAGACAAAAAAAAAGGAGGAAGATTGGCGATGGATGTTAGCTCAGGGCCAGTCTTCCTCAGCAAAAAGAGGAGGATTGGCATGGATGTTAGCTCAGGGCTGATCTTCCTCACAAAAAAAAAAAAAAAAGTAACTCCAAAGCTGGATAAAAATAGAAAGTATCTTTTTTAAATGCATTGAGTTGGCAAGAAAGTAAGATGTAAAGTGAGGATGGTTGTTTGGGAAGAGAGTAGACATACTGATCAACTTTGTTAAATATGCAGTAAAAACAGAAATGGAATGTATGACCTCAAACCAGCAGAGAAAAAAAGTGAATGGAATTTTAAAAAATCAATTCAAAGGAAGATAGGAAAAGAGAAAAAAGAAACTAAAAAAATAAAAAAGGAAGACAAATGGTATAAAATAAGATGGTAAAAATATATCCAAGTATATCAGTAACCATAATATAAATTGTATAAACTTAGTTAAGAAATAGAGATTATCAAAGTGTATATAGAACAAAATACAGATATATGAAATTTTCAAGAGATTAACCTAAAAAGTAAAGACACAGAAAGACTGAAAGCAAAAGGATGGAAGAAGGATATAAAAAGCAGTACTACAAAAAAGAAGAGTGGTATAGCTTTATTGACATTAGACTAGACTTTAAGGGCCGGCCCCGTGGCTTAGTGGTTAAGTGTGCGCGCTCTGCTGTTGGCTGCCCGGGTTCGGATCCCAGGTGCGCACCAACGTGCCGCTTCTCCCGCCATGCTGAGGCCACGTCCCACATACAGCAACTAGAAGGATGGGCAGCTATGACGTGCAACTATCTACTGGGGCTTTGGGGGGAAAATAAATAAGTAAATAAAATTATTTAGACTAGACTTTAAGGTGAAAAGCATTATTATAGACAAGAGTGTCATTACAAATTTCACAAAAGTTTAATCCCCTAGGAAGATACAATAATTCTGAACTTATATATATCTAATAACATAGCCTCAAAATGCCTAAAATAAAAACTGGCATAAACTGGCATAACACTACACACCTATTAGAATGGCCAAAATCCAGAACACTGACAATACCAAATGCTGGTGAGGATGTGGAGCAGCAGGAACTCTCATTCATTGCTGGTGGGAAGGCAAAATGGTACAGCCACTTTGGAAGGTAGTGTGGTGGTTTCTTATAACACTGAGCATACCATACAATCCAGCAATTGCACTCCTTGGTATTCACCCAAATGAGCTGAAAACTTATGTTCACACAGAAACCTGAATATGGATGTTTATAACAGCTTTATTTAGAACTACAAAAACTTAGGAGCAACCAAGATGTCCTTTAGTAGCTGGATGAAGAAATAAACTGTGGTACGTCCAGACGGTGGAATATTATTCAACGCTAAAAAGAAATGATCTGTCAAGCCATGAAAAGACATAGAGGAACTTTAAATGCATGTTACTAAGAGAAGGAAGCCAATGTGAGTCCACTGTATGAGTCCAACTATACGACATTCTGGAAAAAGCAAAACTATGGAGACAGTAAAAAGATCAGTGGTTGTCAGGGGTTAGGAGTAGAAGGGATGAACAGACGGAGCAGAGAGGATTCTCAGGGCAGTGAAAATACTCTGTATGATACTATAATGATGGATACATGGCATTATACATTTGTCCAAGCCCATAGAATGTACACCACCAAGAGTGAACCCTAAGGTAAACTATGATTATGATGTGTCAGTGTAGGTTCATCAGTTCATCATATACCACTCTGATGGGGGATGTTGATAATGGGGGAGGCTATACATATATGGGGGCAGGGGGTATGTGGGAAATCTCTGTACCTTCCTCTCAATTTTGCTGTGAATCTAAAACTGCTCTAAAAAAATTGTCTTAAAAAAAAAAAACTAGCATAACTACAAGGAGAAAAATCTAACCTGCCATTATGGTGGGAGAATTTAACATACGTCATTCAGTATTTTAAAGATTAAGCAGACTAAAAATTAGTTTAAATGTACAAGATTGAATATAACATTTAATAACCCTGAGCTATTGAACAAATAGATAACCCCACTTCGATCACTTAGCAAAAACACATTCTTCTCAACACATGTGGAATATTTATAACAGACAAACAGTATGCCAGAGAGTATGTTTGATGAATATCAAAGAATCAGCCTCACCCTATGTTATATCACTAAAATGCAATTACATTAGGAATCAATAACAAAAATGATGTAAAAGTATCTCATATTTATGGAAATTTAAAAGGCACACTTAATGGACCAAAGAAGAAAATCATAATGGAAATTGTTAAATACTTAGAATTGGATAATACTGGAAAAATATACATCAAAATAAGATATATATAGCTAAAGCAATATTAGAGGGAAAATGGATTGCCTTAAAAGCTTACATGAGAAGAAAGGCTAAAAGTTAATGAGTTAAGCTTCTAACTCAAGAAGATAGTAAAACAGAATAAGCTTAAAGAAATTAAAATAAATGAAATAATAAAAGCAGAAATTAAAAATACAATAGAGAGGGGGCCAGCCCCATGGCATAGTGGTTAAGTTCATGTGCTCTGCTTTGGTGGCTCAGGGTGTGTGGGTTCAGATCTGGGGCAGGACTTACACACCACTTATCAAGCCATGCTGTGGCAGTGTCCCATATACAAAACAGAGGAAGACTGTCGAGGATGTTAGCTCAGAGTCAGTCTTCCTCAAGTGAAAAAAAAGAGGAAGATTGGCAACAGATGTTAGCTCAGGGCCACTCTTCCTCAAACACACACACACAAAAATACAAAACAGAGGAGCAACAAAGCCAAACAATGTTTTTTTTTTTAAAAGACTAATAAAATAGACAAACCTCTGACAATTTTCATTAGAACAAAGAGAAAGGCACAAATAAACAATACTAGGAATGAAAATGGGGACACAACTACAGAAATAGAAGAAATTTGAAAATTTAGCAGACATAGCCAATTTCCTCGAAAAACTTAATAGCAAAACTGATGCAAAAAGAAATAGCAAATTTGAATAGTCCTATAACCATTAAAGAAATTGAATCAGTGAGTATTAACCTATATTGTTTGAGGAACTATAAACCTGGACTGTTTCTAAAGAGCAATCCGCAAATGTGTATTAATGGCCATGAAACTCTGACCCAATAATTTCATCCTGGGGATTACATAAGGAAGAACACAAATGGAAAAGAAATTATAAAGATATTTATAGCTGTACTATTGATATTAGTCAAAGAAATGTAAACAACCTGAATGTCTAACATTTAGGCAATGGCTAAGTAAATCATATTATATGACAGAGCCAGTAAAAATGAAAAATATTTTAAACTCATATGTTTTCAAGGAAAAAGTGGACAAATTTGAGTATTTCAAGAGTTTAAACTTCTGTATCATGAAAGACACCATGAATCAAGTCCAAGGAGACAAGTGGTAGAGAACTGGAGGGAATGCAACTAGAGTTCAAGGCTACCTGGGTTCTCAGTAGGGTGGAACTCACCACCACCTGGGCCTCAGCGGCGGGCTGAAGACAGAAATCTCCATAGAAACCCCATGGAGCCTGAATGGAAATCCAAGAACTGCAGGGATATGCGCCCAATCCAGGTGGATTAGAGAGAAGGCCCTGCCCACAGGGTGCCTGAGTGGTCAGGAAGCAACGGCTGAAGGAGGGTCTAGGTGAATGGGCCAGAGAGCAGGGCCGCCTCACCCAGTTCTTTGTATCCAGGGTGGTTTGGGGGTGGGGGGAGGACACGAGTGTCAGCTGAGGGTTCCAGTCTCTAAGGTGGAAGGAGGGGCTCATAATGGCTAAGAGAGCCAGCTGGCCAGAAGACACCAGAAGAAGAATGCCAGAAGGTATGGACCCTGGGACTGGATGCCACAGAGGATACCATGGGAAGCACCAGCAGATGTCAAAGACCTTTGGTGACCAAGACCAGGAGGGTGAGTATCCACAGGGAAGGCAAATGTAAATATAAATTTGTAGAATAAGGACACGTTATTCATTTTTTAATATTTATTGAGCACCTACTATATGTGAGGCACTACCTTTTAAGTAAGCTGATAATAGAAGGTAGAATTACTCTTTTTCCTCCTTAAAGCTTGCAAATATATAAGTAAGAAAAGATACAAATGTTGAAACAATGCTTAAGAGAAACACAGAATTGTTAAGGAACAGGTGGCGTAGCCCACAGTTTAATTAAGGGTATGGGCCCTAAACTCAGGCTGCCTAAATTCAAATCCAGGCTCTGCAACTCACTAGCTGTGTGACTTCCGTGTTTCAGGTTCTCCATCTGTAACATGAGGCTGATGAGAGCACCTCTCATGGGGTGTGGTAAGGGTGGGTTAAATGAGACAAGGCCGTAAAGCCCACTGCCTGGTTATACAACAAGGGCTTTTTCCTTCCAAAAGTTTTCCGGGACTGCTTTGCAGTGGCTTCACACATACCCACCATCCTGTCTCCCCACCTGGATACCCTCAAATTGCTTTCTCCTCCCCATCTGTTTATTGCCAGGACCTAGGCCAACAGGAGGCACTGGAATAATTTAAATCCCTCAGAGCTGTCAAAACCTATTATCCAGGCTTAATGTCTTACCATCCACTAGCAGTCACCTTTTAAAAGAGGACGTTTGTAAACTCCAAAGAGTGACTCTAGGGGTAGCAGTTCAGGCACAAAGGGGAAGCACCCATCAGATCCCACTAATCTACTCACTCATTAGGCCAACTGCTCTGGTTTGAAAAACACGTCTACAAATTCTGACACTCCTTCCCACCAAGGCTGCAGTCTAATTCACCTTTCTCTGTATATATATGATCTGGACTTAGCAACTCACTTCTAATGAATAGCTGAAATGATGCTGCATGACTTCCAAGTCTGAGTCATAAAAGGCGACACAGCTTACGCCTGGTTCTGGCTCTCTCTCCCCATCTCTTGACATGCAGATATGCACCTCTGGAGCCCGGAGCTGCCAGGGAAGAAGTCTGGCATCCCTGAGACCACCATGCTGAAAAGACCATGTGGAGAAACCACATAAAGATAGAGAGGCCTGAGAGCCCCAGTTGTTCTAGCCTCCAGCTGCTCACGTCTTCCCAGCCCAATGACCAGACAAGTGAGAGAGCAAACCTTCAGGTGATTCCAACCCCCAGCCATTAAGCTGCTCCAGCCAGCACTGAATGGAGCAGAAATGTGTTTGTTGCCACAGCCCTGCCCCGACTACACACTGATGAACAAAGTCAATGTTATTGTTTTCAGCCACTAAGTTTTGAGGTGGTTGGTGAAGTTGTCACAGTAATCAGAACTGGTTTCATGGGTGTGTGACCTGTGCAGTCATACAGGGCCCTGCTCTCAGAAGGGCCCTATGCTTAGTCTAATGCTCTGCTGTCACCATCTTGAAATTCTTAATCTTATTTTTGCACTGGGCCCTGAGAAGTATGTACCTGGTCCTGAACCCTGCCACATGAATTACTGTCACTCTCCTCCTCTTGGTCCTATATATCCATCACACATACATAACTATTCAGTATGTGCAGTGAACAGAGAACAGAGCTTTGGAACCACCCAGACCTAGGTTCATATCCCAGCTCCACCACAGACTGTCCTTGTGACTTTGGGTAAGTTAATTATCCTCACTAAATTTCAGTTACCTTGTCTGCATAATGGAGATAATAATAGTACTTACTTTACAAGGTTACAGTGAATGTTAAGTGGATAATGAATTACTCCTTGCACAAACTAATGCAGTAGCCTCTCATTCTTGTCCCTGTCTCTGGTATCTTTTCCATTTAAAGAACCCTCCATACCCACATCAGATTAATCTTCCTTTGCTAGAGCTCCACTGCTCCAAAACTTTCAATGGCTCCCTACTTCTATTACAATCCAGAGTCTTCATCTGGGTATTCAAGGCCTTCTACAATCAGACATTAAGTTACCATTTTAGACTCATTTTCCAGTGCTCCATTATGCTAACACTCTGCTTCAAACAGAGGGGTTACTGGAGTCTCCTAAAATACTTTTCACTTTCACTTTTCAGTGCTTCTGCCTGGGCTATTCTAACTTCTACCTGGAATATCCTAGGCCCTCCTGACAACCTTGGCATTCTGGTTGTAGTCCACAAACTCAAATAATTGCATGTGGACTTTTAGTGTCATCTAAGTATATTCTCTTAAGTAATGCTTCCAACTGTGACATTTTTAGTACAGGTAACCCACCTCTATTATTTAAAGGAAGTCAGGCTAAGGCACCTCAAATAACGTGTAATGAGGTTGGTGAAATGTGATTTGTTCACACTTATACATTTCTAAGCATTTACAAAAGCTTTGGTAAGGAACAGAAATAAAGCTGTTATTGAACCACTGCCTATCAAATAAAAATGTTCCTAGTCATTTCCTATAACTACAATGTGCATAAACAGAATTTACCCTAGTGACCCCACGAAAGCCACGGCAACTGTTAACAGTTGTGATGTAATTCAATAAAGTTGTTCACATCCTACACATACACACACTCACATTCACAATAACCCTCCAGCCTCGGATTTCATCAAGACTTTGCACCAGCGCCTGGGAGGAGAGCCGGGCCTTGAAATTAGACCTCTGGTCAAATCCTGCCTCTCCCAGTGCTAACAGCGTGATCTAGGCAGGTGTCTTAACCTCTCTGAGCCCTGGGATAAGAGTATCTGTCTCACAGGGGCTTGGGGAGGATGCAATAGGATAACATAGGTTAAGTGGATGGCAGTGAGCAGATGCTCCTTGAGTATTTCAGAGACTCTAGGATGTGGCAGGGGCCTTTCATCTTGCAGAACTTCCCATCTAGTGCAAAAATTTCTTCCACAGCATCCCTGTCAATGGCCATTTAGCATGCGTTTGTCTTTCCAGGACAGGAGCCTAGAACCTCATAGGCCATCCAGTCCATTTCTGGCTGAGTCTAACCGTGAGGAAGTTATTTTGAACTGAATCCTCTTCCTTGAACTTATCACTCTGGTGCCCCTGTGCCTCCCAGCACTCCCCTGCGCCCCCAAAGAGAAGAGGCAGTGGCTATACAGCCAAAAGGTCCCACACCTGAGAGCTGGGCTCAGCCCTGCCACTTCCAGCTGGGTGATAACCTCGGGCCCCTCCCCAGTCCCTCTTTTCTTCATCTGTCAAATGAGGATGAAACTCCTGCAGCCCCCCTCTCCCCAGAGCTATCCCAGGGACAAATGAGACACCGGAGGGAAAAGGGCTCGGGGACTTGTGAAACCCCATCATCACACCGAGGGAGCTCAGAATTCGGTTTCCAGCCCCCTGCCTCCACCTGCTCTCAGAGGAAATCTTCTCCGAGCGGTGCCCAGAGGCGAGGGCCACCGCTCCAGCCGCGTCCGAACCGCAGGGGATGCAGAGGGACTGCGCCTTCAGCATCTGGACCCAGAGGCCGGGAGGCCGCCTGAGCCCCGCGGTCCCGCCCCCCGGCACGGCGCCTCCCCGCTGGCTGTGCTGGGGTCCCCGGCAGGCCCCGGCCCGCCCAGCTTGATGCCCGTCCTCCCGGCGCGGGGCTCGGACCCACCTGCGGCGGCGACTCGGGTCCAGCTTCGTCGTCGCTCGAGGCTGCGCGCCGCCCGCGGCTCGGCTCCCCGCGCCCGGCCCTCCCCCGGGCCGCTCCACGTGGCCGCTCCACGTCGCCCTCAGCCTGCAGCCGCCGCCCTGGCACCCGCAGAGTCCGGAGCGCCAGCGGCCCTCCGCAGCCCCTACCAGGCGCGAGTGTGCGTGTGTGCGTGTGTGTGTGCGCGCGCGCGCGCGCGCGCGAGAGAGACAGACAGACAGACGATGACGCTGGAGTGTGTGAGAAGCATGTTTAACTGTGGTGATGCTGTGGGTGCAGGGACCCAGCTGTGTGTGACAAGATAGAATGTAACTTACCGTTAGTATGTGTGATTGTGACTGGTGTGTGAGGGACTTGTGACACAGTGGGGGGTATTTTCTGTGACTGTGTGTATCCAGTGTGACAGTATGGGCTTGAGAGAGTATGGCCAATGTGTGACTGATTGTCTGGGTGTGTGATGGTACAAGATATTAGTAGTACGTGTGTTAGGGTCCCTGGATGAACTCTTCCTGAGTTGCTTGTGATGCTCAAGAGATAGCTGTGACTGCTGGTTTCCAGCAAAGGTGTCATTGTGTGACTGTGACTGTGCACATTCACTGAGAAGTGGCTCCATGAGACATGGTGGGGGGTGGTGTCTGGGAAAAGCATCCTCTTAAGAGTGATGGTGGCAGTTGCTTGCCAGCACAGAGTGCTGCGGTATGTGGCTGCAGCTTCGTGGTCAAAACGGAGTATGTCCTACTTTTGTCACAGTGGCCAGTTCCTCCACCTAGGCTCCGCACTACATCCTCACCCACTGACCCAAGGACTTAGTTCTTTGAATGAATGACTTCTCTTCTCTCTGGAATTTTCAACTTCTCCCTTTCCATCAGCTCCTTCCCATCAATATCCATCACAACAAACTCAGATTCATTGAGGCCACCCGGTGGTCCTCCTTCCTGTGGTAGACACTACTGGACACTACCTCCTTGGATCACAGTATCCATTGGTTTCGGCACACCATTCCTCTCTCTCTCTAGTCATTTCTTCTTAGTTTTCTTCATGCATCACAGTTCCTCCGGGCTTCCTCCTCACTCCTTATCTGCTCATGTGTTCATGTAGATTCCATCATTATCTATTATGGGTTGAATTGCATCCCTCAAAAATTCATATCTTGACGTCCCAACCCCTAATACCTAAGAATGTGACCTTATTTGGAAATAAGGTCATTGCAGATATAATTAGTGAACATGAGGTCGTACTGGAGTAGGGTGGGTCCCTAATCCAGTATTACTGGTGTCCATATAAAAAGGGAAAATTTGAACACAGACACACACACAGGGAGAATAGCATGTGAATATACAGGCAGAGATTGGAATGAAGCTTCTACATGCCAAGGAATGCCAAAGATTGCCAGGAAACCACCAGAAGCTAGAGGAGAGGCATGGAACAGATTCTTCCTCACAGCTCTCAGAAGGAACCAATTCTGCTGACACCTTGGTCTTGGCTTCTAGTCTCCAGAACTGTGAGACAATAAATTTCTGTTGTTTAAGACACCCAGTTTGCGGTACTTCATTATGGCAACCCTGCAAACTAATATGTCATCTAAATGCTGATGACTACCAAATCTCAAATTCCAATCTCTTAGCCCCAGACCACTTCAGGTATGGAACATCCTACTGATTTGTGCCTGGGTCTTAATTTATAGAAGTGACTAATGCCACTGAAAGAAAAGTTTAATGTCACAGTTCTCCTAGAAACAAGAGGCACAGCTCACCACACAGGACCACAGGGGGAAGCACCAATGGAGTTCAGAAGGCAGAAAAGAACAAGAGGAAGGCATGGGCCACAGCCCTTATTAAGCAGGAAAGGCAGGGTAGGGCAGGGTAAACAGCTAGTTTGAATAATTCTGGTGGGCTTTGGGGCATAGCGGCTGTCTCTAGTTGTCTAGTACATGGCCTTGGGTTGATTTGGAACAGGGGAAATTTTGGTTTGGTGTGTGAAAGTTAGATAAAGGAAGTGGTTCAGAGTATGGGCTCTGGATTGCAGGGGAGATATAAACAACTTTGGCAGTTAGTCTGGCCTTATGATTAATAGATGCCAAATAGACAAACACAAAATCTACGAAAACACAATTAGAACACATGCTAGCACCCTAGCCTATACGTGTCGGAGTCAGAATGCATCTTCCTCCTCAAACCTTCCCCTCCCCCAGTTTCCCTATCCCAGGGACAGGAACTGCTGTGCATTCCTGAATCGATGTAGTCAGAAACTTGGGGGTCATCCATGATTCCTTCTTCTCCCCCACCCCGTCTCCAACCCACTACCAAGTCTTACCAATTCTGCCTCCTATCTTAGAGATCTTCACTTCTCTCGAGAGCTTCCCCCAGTCCAGGCAGCCATCAGCTGTGCCAAAGTTCTGTTAACAGCCTCCTAATTGGCCTCTCTGCTTCCATTCTCATCCTCCTCCAATCCATTCTCCAAGTAGTCTGAATGATTCTTCTAGAACATAACTCTGATCATGTCACCCACCCCTTCTTAAAAATTCTCTGATGGCTTTCCTCCAGCCTTAGGATAAACTCTAACATCCTTTATGTAGCTACTCACAACCTGGTTCTTGACCATCTCATGCTCCAGCCACACCAAATTTCTTTTGGTTCCTCTGAGAAGTCTCTTACATCCAGGCTTTTGATTATGCTCTCCTGGAACAACTACTTTCTCCCCACCTCCCCCTTACCTGGGAAACTCCTACTCATTTTTTGGTTTCACCTTAAATGTACAGTATTGTCGGGCCGGCCCCACGGCTTAGCGGTTAAGTGCGCGCACTCCGCTACTGGCGGCCCGGGTTCAGATCCCAGGCGCGCACCGATGCGCTGCTTCTCCGGCCATGCTGAGGCCGCGTCCCACATACAGCAACTAGAAGGATGTGCAGCTATGACACACAACTATCTACTGGGGCTTTGGGGGAAAAAAATAAATAAATAAAATTAAAAAAAAAAAAGTACAGTATTGTCATTTAACGCCTGAGTATGCTTTCTCTGACCCCACGGAGTTCGGGCACCCTCCTCAGTGCTCCTGCTGCAGCTAGTACTGCATTTTTCTAGCACCATGCTCTATTGCAGGGGTTCAACCCTGACCGGACATTTGAATCTTCAGAGACCTTTTAAGTTATATTGATACCTAGGCTCCTCTCCAGACCTACTATATCAGGGAGGGGGCGTGGGCACTGGTAGTTGTTTTTTTTTTTTTGAACTGATTATATTTTTATTAAAATAACTACAGTACAATGAACCCATAATTGGTTATTCCAAATAATACCCGGGTTAGTGAATTTCAATATTTGTTTTATTGAGTGCAAAAGCAATGGGATAGACTGCAAAACATAAGCATTCTCTCATTTTTCTTAAGAGAATAAAAACATGCAGGAAATGTTTAATGAAACAATGAATTGGTAATTTCCTAATTTTCTACAAAAGAAGAAGCATTTATCAGGTGATGTTTACATGTGTATGCTGCAACAAACCATTAAAGTAGTAGAGCGAAATCCCATAAATCAACCAAACAAGCCCTCAAATATAGCCACTCTTATACGGGTACCTCAATCTCCAATTCACAGAGTCCAATGAAAGAATGGAAGAGAGACAGTAACTGATAGAGGTAAAAACTTCAAATACAAGGATAAGAAATTATGTAGAATGAGAGCCATAGTTTATAACTCAGCAAACCAAATGGGGAGTGGAGTAGAACTGGAGAGAGAGATACAAAAGACATTCCAAAAAACATCCACTGTCCTCTGTAATTTAATTATGAGCCATTATGGTATCTATAAAACATAACCAAAGAACAGCAAGAGAAAAAATTTGATTATGTGAAGAAGTCTGTGAGCACAAAAAATTACATTTGATAGATACGTGAAACAAATATTCTTTATCAAACTGTGATTATTTAAGCATGATATCATGAAACAGATATCAAAAGTGTGGGTCAGGGAATCAGTTGTTTAAAACTGTGATGGTGGAAATTTGCTAAGAGAGTAGATCTTAAGTGTTCTCACCACATATACAAAAAAGTGGTAACTATGAGAGGTGATGGATGTATTAATCAGTTTGATCATAATAATCATTTTACAATGTATACATATATCAAACCATCACATTGTGCACTTTATTATTTTTTTAATTTTTTAAAGTTTATTGCGGTCACATTGGTTTATAACATTGTATAAATTTCAGGTGTACATCATTATACTTCTATTTCTGCATAGATTACATCGGCACTGGTAGTTTTTAAACTCTCTGATGATTCTAATCTTAAATCAAGGTTGAGAGCCACTGCTCTTTAGCTTATTTGTTTCCATATCCCAGTGAAGACAGGAACAGCATCCCTGGGCTATCCCAAGTGCCTGGTAGAGAGCAGGTGATGAGTAAATATCTGTTGTACTTATGATGGAGATTGTATTAGACAGCATAGAGTGACACTGCATGAGAGACTTTAACCTACAAATGTGTGACTCTGTGTGGAATGCCACCGACTCAGTAGCTGAAATCTGACTATGTCACAGTATGGGGTGTCACAGTGTGAATGGTTGTGTCCAGTGTGTGAGGACGACTGTGAATTGGCTGAACACTGTGGGACTGCAGGGTGTCACCATGTGAGTGGCCATGTCCTGAGCGTGAGAGGCACTGTGAATGACTGTACTCTGTGTGACAGGGCAGGCTGTCACCACAGGAGAGGCTGTGTCCTGTGTGCAACTAAATAGCTGGGGGACTCTGACCAGGCTGCCTGACTCGCGGTAGCAAGGCAGAATTTGAGGAAGAAGGAGCTAGAGATGCCCCTCACCAAGATGGCGCTGTGAGGGAGGCTGCCAGTCCTTGCCTGCGGCTGCACCTCTTGTGACCACGACGAAGAATCAGGAGGCGCAGAGCCCATTGCCAAGTCCCTGGGATCAGCTCTGCGCCGAGCGCCCAGCGCAGCCCGCCCACGCCCCCGACGTCCTAGCACCGCCCCGCCGCGTGTCGCACAGGCGGCGGGCGGGGCCCGGATCCCGGAACCGCCGGCAGTGGAGGCGGGACCTGCACAGGCCGTCCAATGGCGGTAACGGGCGGGTCCCGGCACGCACCTGCGAGCCGACTAGTCAAAGTCGAGGGGCTGGAGCCGGTCAAGAACTTGGGAGGCGGAATCCAGCAACGCAAAATGCTGAGCTCCTCCCTGAGCTCCCAGAATGGCACTTGGACAGAGCCCTTCTCTCTGCTTTTGGGTCTTGGCGCTGCCCTCTACTTGGGCTACTACTGGGCGTGTGTGCCCCAGGTGGGTACGGGTCCAGAGCTCTGGCCGGCGGGTTTGGGATCCTTGGGTCTAGGGAGCAGCTTCCAGCGCGGGGCTTGAGCCCTTTGTGGGAGCTGGCATGGTTGGCCTCCCGCCCCACGTGAAATCTGACGCCCCAACCCCACCACTACCCCCATCCCGCTCCAGCCAGGCTCGGCTTTGCTGTTATCACCTAATGGAGAGTCGGTTCTTTGCCTACCTAGATTCTCTGCATCCCGCGTGCTCCCAATGCCAGCTGGGCCTTTCAGGCATCGGAGGGGTGCTGCTCCCTATGATGTGGACAAACATTTGGGTAAAGGCGAGGTGGAAGGTATCCTGAGGTGTCAGGGAGATATGCACACTGCTTTCCTTTTCTTTTCAGGCAGGCTAGACTGAGATTCTCATGAGCTGCACTGAATGAAGGCACCGGAGGCCTGTGGGGTTGTGGCTAACCCCCAACATCACCCTGTCAGCTTAGTAGGGCCTTGCTTCTGTTAAAGGCTGGCAGAGGTTCCCCTCCTAGCTCAGGACTAATGGATAACCCTAACTGCCCTTCCTCATTCAGCCCTGTTTTAAGTTCTAGGCTCTCCATGTATAGGGCAATGGGAAAGTCTGAAGAGGTTGAGTTTGATGAACCTGGAGATTTTATTCTCACTAAAATTTACATAAAATACATAATTTACATATCCAGAAAAATCTAAATCTTTTAATCTTCATTAAACTTTGTTCTAGAGTAGCTGAGTCTAACAAGAAACCTATTGATTCAAGCCCTTTAAGAAGATCTGTAGGGAATTTTAATGTTACCTACACTTTTCTGTATTTTCAGAGCTTTCTACATTCGCATGTATTGTTTATAAAATAAGTCTGCCTTTTTTTTTAAAGATTTTATTTATTTATTTATTTTCCCCCCAAAGCCCCAGTAGATAGTTGTGTGTCATAGCTGCACATCCTTCTAGTTGCTGTATGTGGGACGCGGCCTCAGCATGGCCGGAGAAGTGGTGTGTCGGTGCGCACCATGCATCCGAACCCAGGCCTCCAGCAGCGGAGCCCACGCACTTAACTGCTAAGTCACTGGGCCGGCCCAATAAGTCTACCTTAATAAAACAATTTTAAAAATCCAAACCTCAGTACAGTATAAATCTAACCTTACATGTCTGATTTGGAAAGTCATTCATTTCAGAACAGAGCTGTCCTTAACTAAACATTTTCCTTTATTTACAACCAGCCACACAAGTCAGAGACCTCTGCCACTTTATATTCCAAACCCTTCCTTGACATCCAAATACTGGTTACAATTTAGGAAAAGTAGCATTCTCGAGACCCTGAAGACATGGAGTTTGGATTGTCCAGCATGGTAATGGATTGGTATTGATTCATCTACAGTGAGTGGCATATTACTAATTAAGTCTCAGGAATGAGTCAAGAAACACTTCCTGTGACCCAATTAATCAGTGCCTTGTTCTACACTACTGAGCTGTTTGACCAAGAATAAATTAACAACTCAAAATCTTGGCAATTAGGAGGTAATACAGTACAGTGACTAAGAGCATAAGCTCTGGACTCAGACAGACCTGGGTTTGAATCCCAGCTCCGCCACTAACTAGCTTTGGTAAGCTTTGTGACCTCTGACAAGTTACTCAACATTCAAACCTGTTCCCACAGGGGGATCAACAGTATCTATCTCAAAGAGCTGTTGTGAAGCTCACCAGATATAATCATGTAAAGTGCTTAGCACAATGCTTGGAACATAATGAGCACTCAACAAATTTTACCTACTAGTATTTGTGGTAATATCATAATTATTAGGGCCGGCCCCGTGGCTTGGTGGTTAAGTGAGCGCGCTCCACTGCTGGCGACCCGGGTTCGGATCCCGGGCTCGCACCGACGCGCTGCTTCTCTGGCCATGCTGAGGCCGCGTCCCACATACAGCAACTAGAAGGATGTGCAGCTATGACACACAGCTATCTACTGGGGCTTTGGGGGGAAAAAAATAAATAAAATCTTTAAAAAATATATATATATATATATCATAATTATTAGTAATTCTGCTTTGCTTCTTGCTTGTTGTGTGACCTTTGGCAAACAACTTAACCTCTGTGAGTCATAGTTTATTCACTTATAAAATATCCTATCTCATAAACTTGGGCTTAGCCTAGTGCCTGCACATGGCACACAATGAATCACAGGTGTTATTATTCCAGGGCTTAAGGACCAGGGTACAAGTCACATCTCACAAGAGTCACACTACCAACCTGGCCCCTCTAGTTCATAATTTACCTAGCCCCTTTTGAGTACCAAGATTGCAAAAGAGCTAGGCATCAGCCCTCAGATTCCTTAGGGCCTGTGACAGAAATACAGTTTCTGTTCTTGAGTCTGAGGCCTTTTGGCTTTATACAGCATTCTCCTTTATAAACCTATGTGGCTAAGCCCTCTCATTCACTTAAAGTCTACCAGAAGAACCAAGCAGAGGGGTCGAAAGTCAAGGCTGAGTGCCCACTGACCTCATCTGTCCCTGGCATCCCATTCCCATTACCTTCCTCCTGGCGGGCACGAAGGAAGAAAAAATCTGTGCATACGGGGCCTATTCCTCTTTTACGGTATGGTGTAAGAGCAGGGGCCCCATGGGTAAGAAAATGAGGTGCTGTAGTAGAAAGAAGCCTTTCAGCAGAGAGTACAGATAGTAGGGAACAGGAATATGTGACAACGGGGTGCTAAAATCAGGAGGAGCCAGCACGGCCAGAGCTAGTTTGGCTAAGATGACAGAATGTGGATAATTCAACTGCAAGGCAAAGGTCGCAGACTGAATGGTGCTGCATTTCTTCAGCCTCTGCCCAGGATCCTAACCCCTCCTGGAAGGGATCAGCTAGGCAACTTATTTTATATTACCTGCTCTCCCCAAAATGAGTTTAGGGCATGGATAGGCTGAGTGGTGGAGTCAGCACCCAGTCAACTGCAGCAGCTCCCACCCCTCGTTCTGAGTCTGTTCAGTCAGCTCTGGAGAGGTGACACTGTAGGACTGGAGTTCTTGGGGACTGTAGCTGCACTATACTAACAAAGGTGTCTTGGCCATTTGACTGAGGTTGCTAGATTTCTCACCCCCTGATGAAGCAGTGCCCTCCAGGCTGGCCTCTGGATAGGGGTCACTCTGGTGCCAGGTGCCTCACTGGCTTGGTGCTAAAATCAGTGAGGCAGACTGCATTGTGTGATTACAGAGGCCTCGACTGGTGACTGGGTCCCGGTTTCTGGCCTTCCTGGAGCAACACTGTCCAGTCACTGTGGAGACTTTCTATCCTACGCTATGGTGTTTCGAGGGGCGGCTACAAACCATCTTCCGAGTCTTACTGCAGTCTCGGCCTCTAGTCCCTTACTGGAGGTAAGAAGGGGCAGAAGGGGGTGAACATGACCCTGCAAGTATAGGGGAATCCTTTCTACCTCTATTAAAATGAAGGTAATCTTTGCCACATCTCCCTATGTGTTGAGAGTGGCTATGTGGAAGGGCTATTTAATTGCACAACCATGAGGTAATATTAAATCTTTTATGTCCCCATTACACCCTGTTATGGTCTTAATGTTTTGCAAAATGCATGCTCTCAAATGATGCTGATGGGAAGCTGTGGGAGCTGTCTATGGGTGGAACTGGGGGTAAACCTTTTGAAGTACATGGAATTCCTAATAGTATCTTTGCGTACCCTTTTCTTCAAAACCACAGTGAAGTCCTCCAAACCCCAGATGGAGGACAGCTCCTGCTAGACTGGGCTGGCCAGCATGACAGCAGTCAATACCCTGACCCTACCACCCAGCCCATTGTATTACTGCTTCCTGGTATCACAGGCAGTAGCCAAGAGACATATATCTTGCACCTGGTTAACCAAGCTTTGAGGGATGGGTACAGGTAAGGATGGGCACAGCCCAGAAGAATTGGGTGGGGTCTGAAAACTTGTAATAGGGAGGTCAATTCAGATCCTGATAACTATGGGGAGGAGGTACTGTATAGATGGCACTTTTTGACTGGGGTCCTTCTGAAGGCTACCAAAAGGGGAGAGAGGCTTTGAGGGAGGATCTAGCTAAGATGTACCTGTGTATGCCACAGGGCTGTCATATTTAATAACCGGGGCTGCCGTGGGGAAGAACTGCTGGTGAGTATCCTCTTTCCTCCTAGTAGCCCTTCACCCGTCACCCCACTGCCTTCAGAGATCCTTGACTGTGGGGCTCTACCTACCTATCCTTCTTCCATTTCTCTTCCATCTCTTCAGTCCTTCCATTTTTCTCCCTTCCGGCCAGGGCCTCCCTCCCTACCCAATGATCCGGTTTGCCTCAGACCCACAGGTCCTTTTGTGCCAGCCATACTGAAGATCTGGAGACAGTCGTGAACCACATAAAGAACCGCTACCCCCAAGCTCCACTGCTGGCCGTGGGCATCTCTTTTGGAGGGTAAAGGCTGCCTGCGCTTAACCCAAAGGCCCAGTCTTCCTTTCTTTCCCCCTCCATGTCCTCTCTCCATCTCCTCTGTCCCAACTCACTAATGCAAACCCTTCTTTCATGGCCCCTGGTCCAATCCTGCAGAACATTAGTGCTGAACTACCTGGCACGAATGGGGCCGGCTGCAGGGTTGGTGGCAGCACTGACTCTATCTGCATGCTGGGATTGTTTTGAGACCACCCGCTCCCTGGAGACCTCACTCAACTCACTGCTCTTCAATCACCGCCTCACTGCTGGGCTCTGCAAACTTGTGGACCGGTAGGGTCTTGGCAAGTAAGGGGGCAGTAGACAGCGTAGGAGGGCAGACATGCCGGGTTCTCCCAGTGCTTGGGTTCTATATCTGGGCTTTCTCACTCATGAGTTAAGACAGAGGCTGGCTCTGGGTCAGGTCCCAGAATAGAGCCAAACCTCTAGGTGCTCTTTTGCAGAAATAGAAAGGTGACGGAAAAGGTGGTGAATGTAGACTTTGTGCTACAGGTATGGTCTTTCAACCATCCCCCTCCACCCTAAATTGTTCTTCCAGTATCTTCTCATTCCCCATCCTCATCCTAGCCTATCCCACCTTCCACTACCTGCAGGCCCACACAATCCGCCAGTTTGACGAACGCTACACAGCTGTGGTCTTTGGATATCAAGACTGTGTTACCTACTACCAAGCAGCGAGCCCAAGAACAAAGGTAGATGCTATCCAGATCCCTGTGCTTTGCCTCAATGCAGCTGACGACCCCTTCTCCCCAGTCTATGGTGAGCACCTTGAGTCTGGACGCTTCAGGCCCCAGAGGAAATGGGACATGAAGTGCAAGTGGAGAGAGCCTGGGCTCTCAGTAAAGGCCAGGGTTCCTGACCTCTTCTCCCACCCCTCTCCCAGGCTTTCCCCTGCAGGCTGCCCAACACTCTCCCCATGTCGCCCTGCTCATCACAGCCCAGGGCGGCCACATCGGCTTCCTGGAAGGGCTGCTCCCCTGGCAGCACTGCTACATGAGCCGCCTCTTGCATCAGTATGCCAAAGCCATCTTCCAGCACCCAGCGGAGCTGCTCAGCCTCAGGGCTCTCTCACCAGAGGGAGGCAAGAGCTGACAAGAGTACCATTTGGGGTCTCAGTTCAGTCTTTCCTTGTTTATTAAATAATCAACTTTTTCTGCCGAATGGGCTGAGGTTCATTTTCCCCACAGGGCTAGGGTAGGCCATCCAGGAACTTACTGCATATTTTTAGCCTGGCTGGCTTGGAGATACCCAGCTGAATCCACAGATTACTGCTTAGGTCTTCCTTTTGCTCCCTCCTTCCCTAACAGCAAGTCCCAGGCCAGTGCTTATCCCAGCAAATGCCAGGGGCTCATGTGAAGAGCAACTGGCCACAAGGCTGTGAGGGGAGGAGAAAATGACTATTTCTTCAGGAAGGACAGCAGTGCCTCCAGGCCCTTGGGCATCTTCACATATTTCTGGAGAAAGGACAAGCTCAATTGTAGAGCCTGGGGTAAGGAGAGGGAAGGAGACAGGTGGTGTGGCCAGGGCTTCATATACCACTGTCCTGGGCTGATCCACAGATGATGAATGCAAAGTTTCCAGGACTCAGAGTCACCCACGGCCAGAGCCAAGCTTTAACTGGGAAGGGCAGGCAGTGCCCATCAGTCTCATCAGAGGCAACCTGAGCTGTGGACCCAGTGGAGTGAGCAGTGGGGTACCAGGCCTCCACTCTGGTCTAGAAGGTGGTAGTGTCTAGGCCCCTAATTTCCTGGGAACAGGAAGGCTAAAGAAAACCCGGAAAGGCACTCTGGAGCAGCAGGATGGTCATAACAATAAGCCCGACACATAGCAGCAGCAGCAGCCACACAGGAACACTCCCTGCAGGAGAGGCAAGGGAAGAAGTCAGCGGGCAAAGGGGCTTCACAGCCTAAAGAAGAGAACCATTCAAGGAGGGGGCAGATGCTACAAACAAGCAGCCTGTTCTCCAGGGAACAAGTTTTTGCTCCAGCTAAAGATGGGGTGGTACCCCCACTCCAATGACTCACGCCGTGAGGGCAGCAGGTGCAGCTGGCAACGACTATCCACAGCCACAGAGAACAGGGCAGTTTCGTGGGACCCAAGGAGCTCTGGACCACGACCCTTCTCAGGTAGAAAGGCCACATCTGTCACCACGATGCCATGGGCCTCCTTCACATAGTAGAGGCGCTGGGGACAGGAGAAGAACTAGTGAGGAAGGCCCAGTTGGGAACATTCTTTCTAGAAAACATGCCCCTTGCCCCCAGAAAGCTTTCCCTCTACAGGCTGGGCCAGATTCCTTCCTGCACACTCAGGGTAGAAGCAGGCCTAGAGTCCCCACCCCAAAGAGCCCTCAGGGCTATGCCCACCTCCACCCATTACCTGGAGAGAGAAAGCTATGTAGATGGCAACAGAGCCAGTGACGGTGCCCAGGCCTAGGAAGGTGCCCGATTCACTGCAACAAACAAAGTGCTCGTTGTCCTGGACGCCTGTGCAGCAACCCTCACTCACTAACAATGGTCCTCAGGTACTCAAGCAGAACACCTTCCCGAGCTCCCCCAGAATCCCCCACACCCAGCCAAACCAGCATTGTCTCACACCTGACACTAAGGCAGGAGATGACTTCGTGGCCACAGGATTTGGTTCGAAGGGGCAAGAAGGTGGAGCCATCCCAGGCTGTGAGGTAGCAGGGTGGGGGCTGGCGCAGACGCTTGTGGGGAATCTGCACTGTGAAGAGTCGCAGCCCAGCAGGCTGGTCTGGAACCTGCCCAAACCTGGGGGGCAAGTGAGGGGCTGGTTTAGCTCCTGGGCCTGCCCAACCCTCTTCAGAGGTTTGTGCCCTCCTGTACCTTGGTCCTGCCTGGGATAACACCCGCCAAGGCTACGATCCTCCCCGGCCTCCCCCTGGTCTTTGCCCACTCCCCCACCACGTCTAGGCTGTGTCTCTTTTAGCCACCCTCAGGGTCCTCACACCTGCAGGCCTGGTAGCGGTAAGGCGTGTTAGAAAAGATGGGTCCATTCTCTTGCCAGTGCAGCTGTGTCACCAGCTGATCCTTCTGCCACACGGAGGCCTTAAGGTCCCAGCCCACAGTTACCAACTAGTCAGGAATCAAGATTCCAAGGATGGACAGTTAGGGAATCCACTTAGTGGACAAGGAGCATAACAACCTACTTTTTCCACCCTCTCACCTCCTCACCTTGCCTTCAGGCCCCAAAGCCAGGTCCTCAATCTCCCCTTCATGGGCTTTGAACTCCAGTACTTTCTCCAGGCTGGGTACCTGCAGCCAAACCACCACCATAGTTAGCCCAGGTATCCAGCAAGAGTACAGTGGTTCCCACCCTTCTTCTCTTCTAATGGCCACTCAGTACAGGCTTCACTCACAAGCTTCCCAGAACCCATGCTCAGTTTCTCACAATTCTGGCCTTGCTGCTACTGACACTCATCTTCTAACTTCCCAAAACCACACCTTCCAGACCCGAACGTAGCCATCTGTCCCTCCAGTGGCAAGCAGAGTATTATCGTGGTTGAAGCAGACAACTTTCTGCAGTGGATCAGGGCTGAAGTCTGTCTGCACCGCCTGCAAATTCTCTACACTGAGTTCTGCCCCCTCTTGGTGGGTTTCAGCTCCAGATTTCTTCTCTGCTGGGGCTGCCCCCTTCCTTTGTCGAGGCCTTTGCTCCTTGGAACCTGCAACACAAACAGCCTGCCAGGTTCCAGGCTTTGATAGTAAGTAGTCCTGTCCCTCTCTACACAACCGGTGAACATCCAGCTTCTCGCCTGCTATTATAACCCCACTTCTTTAGAGACCGAGAGTGATCTCACTCATTTAACCCTTTTCCCATAGGGCTGGAGAGGGGGCTTCTCACCTGCCTTCTCTGCCTTGTTTTTGCCTTTCTGCTGAAGGGTCTGGAAGCGCAGGAGCTGACAGTGGGCATCCTGCCCCGCAGCAAGGATGTTACCAGCTAGCGCCAAGTTCATGGTGGCCCGTGTCTCCGTGTCATGGGAGTGTAGTAAGGAGGCGCTCAGGCGCCCATTAACCTGCTCTAGCTGCAGAAAGTGCTGTGGGAGAGGGAACCAGGATGAGCAAGATTCAGGGGTGCCTAGAGAGCGCCTCAAGGGCAAACTTACATTCTATAGTCTGATGCCTTACCCCTTTTTGCTTACTGCACTTTCTAGTTCACAAGGCTTTCTCGAGCCTCTTTTCTCTTTGAGCTTCACAAATCTGTACAGCAAGCGGGGTTGGGATTATTACCTCCAGTTTACAGAATAGGGTGGCGCTCAGAAGAGTGAAGAAACCCAGCCTAAAAGCCCAAGGCACCACTCTCACCGCTGCTAGAGGGCAAAGTCTATGTGGCCTCCGGGGAAAAGCACAGGCTAAGACTCCTGAAGCTGTTCTTGAGATCGACTTGAAGCGTTCCTGCCTACGCAGCGCTGTGTGCAGTTTTCACTTTACCTTAGGAGTCTCAACTGCCCGGTGAGGAAGTGCTCGGTTGAAATTCGCGCCGGAACGCCCGGCATGCTGGGGATTCCCACCCGGGACGAGCAGGGTCCGAGGATGGGGTGCGGCCCGCCCCCGCGACCCCCCCGGAATCGCTCTCAGCCCGTGGCGCGACCCGCCCCAGTGGCCCTGCGCTCTCACCACGCCATTCTTTATGCCCGTCTTGGCGGCACCTCCTCCGCCCGCGGCGATGAGCAGCCCCGCGCTGGGGTCCACCTGAAGCGCGTACAACGGAAACGGGGCCCGATACAGCTCTGGCGCCCGGCGCCGGCCCATCCCGCTCGCCGCGTGCTTCACTGTCCGCACCGCGGCCCCGGGGACATGCCGCGCCCGGCCTTCGACTGCCGCCCCGGCCGCTGTTGAACTTGGTCCTGCCGCCGCCGGACCCCTGGCACACCCACTGGGTTGCCAAAACTTTAACCCCACGCACGACTCCCTATCTCCGCCCCGGGCCGTCTAACCCGGTCGCTCCGTCGCGTAGTGCGCACGCGCACCTAGCCTGCTCTCCTCGCGCAGGCGCAGAACCGCAAATACGCGTCAGCACTAGCCGGCTGCGGGGTGACGCAACATTGGCGCCAGAATTCCATTCTCCGCCTCTTTGTGACTACAGACTCCGCCGTCTTTGTGCGGGGCGTGGGAGGCGCGCTCCTGCTTTAAGGGAACGCTCTTGGTGATTCTGGAGAGGGACTGGAGCTATCCAAGTTTAAGGGAGATTAATAAATCTTTAATAAAGAAATCCTTGTATGAGGGCTGTGCACACTTCAGGAGTGATACGCAGACTCATACAAGCACAGCCTTTACGTCTTACCCCAGCAGGAAGTGATTTGTCCAAAGTCACACACCGGAAACGTGACCTGAGTCGCTTGCCTTTTAACGGAGCCAGCGTGGACTTTAAAACAAATCTGGCTTCACATCCCGAGTCCACCGCTTCCTCGTATGAGGAAGTCACTATTTACCTTAACAAAACACCTATCCTCCGTGGTCGTGGACGGCAGGCAGAGGTGAGAGTTGGAGATTCTCATGGATCCACACGCCCTCCCCTCCAGCGCCTGAGGGTTTCTGGATGGGGGTTGCTCTCCGACACCCTCGGAGGGAGGCAACTCGGCTCCCAGGCAGTGCAGGTCTCATCTCTGCCTGACACTTAACGCTCCTGAGGGGGCCCTTGGGTTTCTGATCTCCAATGTGAGCATCCCATGTTTCTCAGAGTGAACGCTGGGAATGCCTTTCCCTGCTGGGAGACACCTCCTACTGCTCCCCCACCCTGGCCGCGTCAGCGTGTGTCCTTGTTAACCTAAGGTGCACCCAGAGGAAGGGGCCCAGTGGCTTCATCTTTGGGGACGCCATTGTCTGTCCCACCGAATTAAGTGTGTGAAGGGCCTGGCAGAGCCCTGTGCACTTCTCAGGTGGGTCCCATGGCCCTTTCAGATACATGGCACCCACTCTCAATAGCCACTCAGTGTCCTTTGACTCTCCCCCATCCCTTGTTGGGTTCTGGCCCCCATGCAGGTAAAGCCACCCACTGTGTCTGATCAGCAAGACACAAACACAAGTTTTGCAAGGTCAGCCTTTATTGGGTACATTGAAGGCTAAACGAGGCCTCTCGTGCCTTTGATCCTCTTCAGCCAGGAGACAGCAGACTCCACAAGGGGCTTCCAGGGTTCAGGGCTGGAGAACACACCTGACCTCCAGCCAGCCAGCCCTTCAGGGTTTCTGGGGGGCTCCCTGAGGTCTGGGCCCTGGCGGGGACCGTGGGGTTTGGAGGAGGTGCTCCCGGGGGCCTCCGTGGCTCTGGAACTGGGGTGATGATATTTGGAGAATGGGCTCTGGAGAGGCAGGCCTCTTTGGGGTAGAGGAAGGCCTAGGCTTCAGGGAGACAGTGGCCTGTTTTGGTGCCTGAGGTGGAGGCCCTGAACAAGGTGTGGAGTTTGGTGATTGAAGTCCTGCAGACCTGAGGCTCCCAGTCTGGGAGGGTATGCCTTGGGCTGGATCTGCCCGGGCCTGAGCCGCTGGGGTTCGAGCCCCTGGGGCTAGAGCTGCTGGGGCCTGAGATGCCCAGGTTTGACACCCATGGGCATGAGCAGCCTCGCCCTGAGGCCCTACTTCCTCTGGCCTTCTTTCTGGCAACAGATGCAAGGCCCTGGCCTGGCCCCGCGGCAGGCGGAGGCCAAAGCCAATGCCTATGCGAAATGGTTCGGATTCCTGGCCCTGTGCACAGGGCAGTAGTTGGGGGAAGGCAAGCAGCCGGGGTCCAGTCCTGTACCTGGGGATAGGGCAAGAGGGGCTCCGGGGCCGGAGACACACCAGGCATATAGGATACTCCACCACTGGGGCCTGGCCAGTTTTGCCGAGCCACAGGCGCTGCAAAAGCAGTAGCCGCAGGTCGTGTGCGATGCGGCGGTGCCCCAGATGTACCACCAGGGCCTGGGCCAGGGCTCCTGGGTCCCTGAACTCTGCAGGGTCCCTCTCGCTTGCCACGCATCCCATCACTACCCCAGGGGACCCAGTGTCCCTGTATTGATGCCAGTACCATGTCTGCCTGTTAGAGTGGACCCCACAAGAGGGTTGGCTGGGGCTAGGTAGGTCTTCTGGGTGGGAAGGAGACTGGCAACGTGAGTGGGAGAGAAAGGAGTTCTGCGGCTGAGAGGGAGAGGAGGAGTGAGTAAGAGTAGGATAGGGATATAGCTGAGGGGAGGGAGAGGAGGAAGGTGAAAGGGAGAGAGAAGGGTAATTCCGATGAAAGAAAGCTGGGGACCTTGGGAGAGAGGAAGAGTAGGGATGTAGGACAAAGTCAGAATTTGAGTCAGAAGAGTAGAAATGGGAGCCAGGAGAGTGGGACTGAGGGGGAGGGGAGCAAGGTGGGTGAGAGGGAGGGAGTGACTGCTGGGGAGGCAGAGGCTGCAGGTTTCGTGGAGGGGAGTCCACAAGTTGTGAGGGGCCCTGAGGGGGGTGCCCAGGGGGCGCTGTGTTCTGTAGCAGCACCTGGTCCTTGTTTGGAGGCAACATTGCCTCGAATCTGGAAGGGCCTGGGGGGACAAGACCAGAGATTAGAGACCTGGCAGAGTCAGGACCAGTATCTCTGAGGCTAGACTTGGGTGAGAAATCAAGGCCGTCTGTGAGCAGAGTGTGCCTCTAGCCTGGCGTTGGTGCAGCTGTTGGTGGCAGGCCAAGGAGACACCCAGCCCTGTAGCACCAGGCTCTCTCGGTGTTCAGGCAGGAACTTGGGTCTAAACTTGGCCTCTTAATTCTTTGCAGTCAGCCATTGATGAGGGATGTATGGAGATGGAGAATCAGAGCTGCCTTTTGGGAGCTGAGGGGCAGTAGCAGTTATCTGGGTGGGCTGGGGAGGAAGACACAGCCCATAGGACCTGTAGAGAAAGAAACAAAGCCGGGGATATTGAGAGAATTGGTCCATTTATGGCTCTGCCTCATGTGCCAGTTCCAGGTTGGCTCGCCAAGACCCTAAATCCATGTTACCTTTGGGGTGAGAAGAGCTGGCAAAATGCTCCAGAGAAGGTGAGAGCTGAGGAGGAGAGGAAGAGACAGGGAGTCTGGGAGGGTAGGATGGAGGAGACGATTTGGGGGATGGGGCTGAGATAGGATTAGGAATTGAGGGTATTCTGGTGCTGTGAGCTCTTACCAATGAGGGTTCCTCTGGGCTTGTTTCACAAGGCACTTCAGCGATGAGGGGACCTGGGAGAGAGAGGAACAGAGTCACCAAACGGTGGATACACCCTCCTCTGGCCCCAGCTTCCGTCACCCTAAACTCACTCTGACCCCAAGTTTTGTTTGAGCCTTGCCCTCAGTCCTCCTTCAGCCAGGCAGAGGTCTTCTCTCACAGACTTTTGTCCTAAACCTGAATCAGGGATTCTGCAAGCATCCTGGTCTCCTGCCACTCTGGTTCCCTGACCCCTTGTCACCCCTAATGCTGATGTCCTCTGGCTCAGCCTGGCCCTGGCCGAGATGGCTTATCACGCCCAGCAGCACCAGCAGCAGTAGCAGTGGGGCCCGCTGGTGAAAGCCTCTGGGAGACTGGGACTTTGTCTAAGGGGCGGCGTTGCCGCCCCCTGGGGAGCTGGGAGCCCCATTCCCTGGGGGCAGTTCTCCCTGGGATCTTGTGCCTATGTCACAAAGGCCAGGTGCTGACATCATAGACTATCCTCCTCAAGGCTCTGGGACCTTCTTTCAGAGATCATCCAAAGGCTGGCCCTTGACAAAACTGAAGCAGGCAAAATTCTCTGGGGCACTCTGTCTCTTCTTCAGGCCCTAGCCCCCACCTCTGCTCTCTACGCGTATACTTTACAGTTCCCACAACCTCCTCCATCCAGGGTTCTCCTCAACCATACAGCCAGTCTGGGCTGGGCCCTCCCTTCAACTTCCTGTTTTCCTTTGCTTTCTGAGCAGTGGCTCATGCTCCACACCGTTTCCCTCCTTTGGGTATGCTTATATGTTTTAATAACTATTTTCTTAACAGCTTAATTGAGATATAATTCATGTACCATACAATCCACCCGTTTAAAGTGTGCAGTTCACTGTTTTCTAGTATACTCACAGGGTTGTGCAACCATCAACACAATCTAATTTTAGAACATTCTTGTACCCTCCTAAAAGAAATCCCATACCCTCTAGCAGTTACTCCTCATTCCTCCCTCCCACTAGTCCCCGGAAACTATAAATCTACTTTTTGTTTCTATGGATTTGCATACTCTAGAAATTTCATATAAGTGGAATCATACAATATGTGGCCTTTTGTGTCTGACTTCTTTCACTTAGCATAATGTTTTCAAGGTTTGTTCATGTTGTAGCATGTATCATTACTTTATTCCTTTTTATTGCTGAATAATATTCCTTTGTATGGATATACTACATTTTGTTTTCCCATTCATCAATTGATGGACATTTTCTTTGTTTTTACTTTTTTGGCAATTACAAACAATGCTGCTATGAGCGTTCTTGTACAAGTTTTGTATGGACATATGTTTTCATTTATCTTGAGTAGATACCTAGGAGTAGAATTGTGGAGTCACATGGGGAATCTATATTTAAACATTTTGAGTAACTGCCAAACTGTCTTCCAAATTAGCTGTACCATTTTTCAATCCCACCAGCAAGGTATGAGGGTTCCAGTTTTTCCTGTCCTCATCAACACATGTTATTGTCTGTCTTTTTGGGTTTAGCAATCCTAGTGGGTGTGAAGTAGTATATTATTGTGGTTTTGATTTACATTTTCCTAATAACTAATGATGTTGAGGATCTTTTCATGTGATTATTGGCTGTTTGTTTACCTTCTTTGGAGAAATATCTATTCAAATCCTGGCCCAGCTTTTAATTAGGTTCTTTATGTTCTTACTGTTGAATTGTAAGAGTTCTTATATATTGTAGATACAAGTCCCTTATCAGATATATGATTTACAAATATTTTCTCCCATTCTCTGGGTTATCTTTTTACTTTCTTGATGGTTTCCTTTGATGCACAAAAGTTTTTAAATTTGATAAAGTCCAATTTATCTATTTTTTTTCTTGCTTGCTTTTACTTTTATCTAAGAAACCATCCCCTAATCCAAGGTCGTAAAGATTTGCTCTGTTTTCTTCTAAGACTTTTGTAGTTTTAGCTCTTACATTTAGGTCTGTGATCCATTTTGAATTAATTTTTGTATTTGGTGTGAGGTAGGGGTCCAACTTCATTCTTTTGTATGTGAATATCCAATTGTCCCAACACCACTGGTTGAAAAGACTATTCTTTCCCCACTGAATTGTCTTGGCATCCTTGTCAAAAGTCAGTTGACCATCGTTTTAGTTTCCTATTGCCTCTGTAACAGATATATTGTTATAGTGGCTTAAAAGAACACAAATATATTATCTTATGGTTTTGTAGATTAAAACTAATTGGGCTAAAATCAAGATGTTAGCAGGGTTGTGTTCATTTCTGGAGACACTAAGGGAGAATCCATTTCCTTGCCTCTTCCAGCTTCTAGAGGTTGCCCACATTCCTTGATTCATGGTTCCTCTCCTCCATCTTCAAAGCCAGCACCATTTTAGCTGTATGACCATTCTTCCACAGACACATCTCCCTCTGACTCGAACTCTTCTGCCTCCCTTTTCAACTTTCAAAGACCCTTGTATTTACACTGGGCCTGCTGGATAATCCAGGATAATCTATTTTAAAGTCAGCTGATTAGCAACCTTAATTTCTCCTTCTCTTTAACCTAACATTGTCACAAGTTACAGGGATTAGAACATAGACATTTTTGGGAGGCATTATCCTGCCTATCAAAACCATAAATGTCCTTCCTTTCCAATCTGGATGCTGCTTATTTCTCTTTTCTTGCCCACTTGCCTTGCTAGAACCTCCAGAACAGCATTCAATAGAAGTGATGAGAGTAGACATCCTTGTCTTGTTCCTGACCTATGGAGAAAGCATTTAGTGTTTCATCATTAAATATAGTGTTAGCTGTGGGTTTTTCGTAGATGCCCTTTATCAGGTTGAGGAAGTTCCCTTCTGTTCCTAGTTTGCTGAAAGATTTTATAATAAAATAGTATTGGATTTTGTCAAATACTTTTTCTGTATCTATTGAGTGATCACGTGGTTGTTATCCTTTTGTTCTATTGATATAGTGTATTACAGTAATTGATTTTTATTACAGTAATTGATTTTTGAGTGTTAAGCCAATTCTGCATTTCCACTTGGACATGGTGTATAATTCTTTTTACATGTTCCTGGATTCTGTTTGTTTGTATTTTGTTGAGGATTTTTGTGTCTATATTCATGAGAGATATTGGTCTGTAGTTTTCTTTTCTTGTGATATCTTTGTCTGGTTTTAGTATCAGGGTTAAACTGGCATTGTAGAATAAGTTGGGAAGACTTCCCTCCTATGCTACTTGTTGGAACACTTTGTGAAGGATTGGTATTCATTCTTATTTCAGTGTTTGGTAGAATTCACCAGGGAAGCCACCTGGACCTTTGTGGGAGGTTTTTTTTTTTGTTTTTTGGTGAGGAAAATTGGCCCTGGGCTAACATCTGTTGACAATCTTCCTCTTTTTGCTTGAGGAAGATTGTCCCTGAGCTAACATCCGTGCCAGTCTTCCTCTATTTTGTATGTGGGATGCTGCCACAGCACATGAGCAATGTGTAGGTCCATGCCTGGGATCCAAACCCATGAACCCCAGGCTGCCAAAGCAAAGTGCATGAACTTAACCACTACACCACTGGGCCGGCCCCCAAGGGAGATTTTTATACTACTAATTCAAATTCTTATTTTATTTCTTTTCAGATTTTCTATATCTTCTTGAGTTCATTTTGGTAGTTTGTGTCTTTCTAGGCAATTGTCTGTCTCATCTAAGTTATCTATTTTGGTTGGCATACAGTTGTTCATAGTATTCCCTTTTAATCCTTTTTCTGTATGTATGGTCAGTAGTGATGTCCCCTTTTTCATGCACTGTTTTAGTAATTTGAGTCCTGTCTCTTTTATTCTTGATCAGTCTAGGAAAGTTTTGTCAATTTTGTTGATATTTACAAAGAACCAACTTTTAGTTTTGTTTATTTTCTCTATTGTTTTTCTAGGCTCTATTTTATTCATTTCTACTCTCATCTTCACTATTTTCTTCCTTCTGCTTACTTTGAATTTAGTTTGTTCTTCCCTTTCTTGTTTCCTAAGGTGATTAGGTTATTGATTTGAGATTTTGTTTTTTTTGTGTGAGGAAGATCACCCCTGAGCTAACATCCATGCCAATCTTCCTCCACTTTATGTGTGACACCACCACAGCATGGCCTGACAAACAGTGCATTGGTGCGTGCCCGGGATCTGAACCCCGGGCCGCCACAGCGGAGCGCGCGCACTTAACTGCTACACCACGGGGCTGGCCCCCATCTGTTTTTTAATATAAACATTTTTTTTTAATTTTATTTATTTTTTCCCCCAAAGCCCCAGTAGATAGTTGTATGTCACAGTTGCACATCCTTCTAGTTGCTGTATGTGGGACGTGGCCTCAGCATGGCCGGAGAAGCAGTGTGTCAGTGCGTGCCCAGGATCCGAACCCGGGCTGCCAGCATCGGAGCATGCGCACTTAACCACTAAGCCACGGGGCCGGCCCTAATATAAACATTTATAGCTATAAATTCTCCCTCTTTCCCACTGCTCTAGCAGCATCCCATAAGTTTTCATATGTTGTTTTTTTGTTTTCATTAATTTCAAAGTATTTTCTAATTTCCCTTGCAATTTCTTCTTTGACTTACTGATTATTTAGAAGTATGTTATTTAATTTCTATATATTTGTGAATTTCCCAGATTCAGTTCTATTGTTGATTCCTAACTTAATTCCATTGTGGTTGGAGAACATATTTTGTAAGATTTTTCTCTTTTTAAATCTACAGAGGCTTGTTTTATCCCCTAACATATGGTCTATTCTGGAGAACGTTCCATGCGCACTTCAGAATAACGTACAGTCACGTGCTACATAATGATGTTTTGGTCAACGACAGACTGCATTTACAACGGTGGTCCCATAAGATTAGTACCATGTAGCCTAGGTGCGTAGTAGGCTATACCATTTAGGTTTGTGTAAGTACACTCTATGATGTTCGCACAACGATGAAATCGCCTAATAACGCATTTCTCCAAACGTGTCCCCATCATTAAGCCACGCATGACTGTATATTCTGTGGCTGTTGAGTATTCTTTGATATTTGTTAGGTTTAGTCAGGTTACAGTGTTGCTCAAGTCTTCTATATCCTTATTGACTTTCTGCCTAATTGTTGAATACTGTAAATTTAAGATAGATTGATAGAACAGGCATGAGCCTTTCCATGAGTTCATTGCTTGGATGAAAGAAGGCACCGTGATCTTCAGTGAGGCTGTCAGGACTCTTTCTCCCTCAAAAGCAAGGTTTCCTTAGAGAGTTACCAAGGGATGGAAGAGTCAAAGTCATTAAATAAAAAATTCTAATACCATCTCTTCTCCGTTCCACAGTAAATATAATTCAGACTATCCTAGAGAGGGCCAAAATACCTTGTTTCCAATGCCAGGATTTTCTTTTAACAGAAATATATATGTATTAGTCTGGGTTCTCCAAAGAAACAGAACCAATAGGACATATCTATATCTA